CTGGCTCCCTGCTCAGCAGAGAGCCTGCTTCTCCCTCTGCCTGCCACTCTGCCTACTTGTGCTCTATCTCTCTGTCAAATAAATAAATAAATAAAATCTTAAAAAAAAATTCTTTTGTCTTTTCCTCAGTTATTTTATTTTTATTTTTTATTTTTATTTTAAAAGATTTTATTTATTTGACAGAGAGATAGTGAGAGTTGGAATACAAGCAGGGGGAGTTGGAGAGGAAGAAGCAGGCTTCCCGCTGATCAGGGAGCCCAGTGAGGGGCTCGATCCCAGAACCCTGGGATCACGACCCAAGCCGAAGGCAGATGTTTAACGACTGAGCCACCCAGGCACCCTCCTCAGTTATTTTGAAGTATAACATCAGGATTGGAAAATGCTATTTGAGGAATTTGTTTGCAGTGATACTTTGATTTATGTGAATTTATAGACTTCCACATGCTTTTATCTCATCTGATGTTCTCAACAGCCCTATGCAAATATTGTTAGTCCCTAATTTAGAAGTGAGGAAAGTAAGACTGATGTAGGATCACATGCTATTAAGGGAGAGAACTTAGACTCACTCCCCTTAGCCCTGTTCATTCTAATATTTACTGTACTATATCTCATGATGAAAAAAGGATTTGGATGGGTACCGGGGGGGCTCAGTCAGTTAAGCATCTGCCTTTGGCCCAGGTCATGATCCCAGGGTTCTGGGATCGAGCCCCATGTTGGGCTCCCTGCTCATCGGGGAGGTTGCTTCTCTCTCTTCTCCCTGTTTGTGCTCTCTATCTCTGTCTCTCTCAAATAAATAAAATCTTAAAAAAAAAAAAAAGGATTTGCAAATTCTAATTCCTAGTCTTTTGTACTTTATATTTCCTAATTTACTTATAACTAAGCTGTTGTCTTACCTTTTTTTGGTGATAAAAGCCACATAACATAAAATTTACCTTAACTGTTTTAAGTGTATAGTTCAGTAGTGTTAAGTATATTCACATGGTTGTAAACAGATTACCAGAACTTTTAATTTTACAAATCTGAAACTATATTCATTAAACAGCTCCCCTTTTCTCCCTCACTGCATTCCCTGGTAACTGCATTCTATTTTGTTTCTATGAATTTGATTACTCTAGATACCTCATATAAGTAGAATCATACAGTGTCTTTTTTTGTGACTGGCTTACTTCACTTAGCATAATGTCCTCAAGGTTCATCCATATAGAATATGACAGGATTTCTTTCATTTTAAAGGCTAAAGAGGGGCGCCTGGATGGCTCAGTTGATTAAGCATCACACTCTTGATTTAGGCTCCGGTTGTGATCTCGGGGTTGAGAGATTGAGCCCTGCTTCGGCTCTGTGCTGGGTGTGGAGACTGCTTAAGAGTCTCTCTCTGCCCCTCTCCTCTTGCTCGCTTGGGCGCTCTCTCTCATTCTTTTTCCCTCTCTAAAAAAAACACCCTAAAGGCTGAATAATATTTAATTGTATATACTACATTTTGTTTATTCATCTGTCAGTGGACATTTGAGTTGCTTGCTCCTTTTGGCTGTTGTGGGTTGTGCTGCTGTGAATGTGGGCGTGCATGTAGCTCTTTGAGTCCCTGCTTTTAGTTAATTTGGATATATACCAAGTGGGATTCTTTGGTCATATATAGTAGTTCTGTTTTTAATTTTATCAGGAACCTTCATACTGTTTTCTGTAGCTGTTGCATCATTTTACAGTCCTACCAACAGTGTGCAAGGATTCCAGTTTCTCATCCTTGCCAAGACTTATTTTGTTTTTTTTGTTTTTGTAGTAGCTACCGTAATGGTTGTGATGAGATACCTCATTGTGATTTTGATTTGTGTTCTTCTGATGATTAGTGATGTTGAGTATCTGTTCATATGCTTGTTGGCCATTTGTATATCATCTTTGGAGAGATTCTGTTGAAGTCTTTTACCCATTTTTAAATCAAGTTACTTTTTTGTTTCTGAGTTGTAGTTCTTTATATATCCTGGATATTAACCCATAATTGGATATAAGATTTACAGATATTTCCTCCTATTCTTATGTTGTCTTTTCACTCCGTTGACTGTGTTCTCTGATGCCCAAAAGTTTTAAACTTCGAGATAGCCCATTTGTCTGTTTTTACTTTTGTTCCCTTTGTTTTTGGTGTCATTTCCAGGAAACCATTGCCAAGTCCAGTATCATGAAGATTTCCCGTATGTTTTCTTCTAGAAATTTTATAGTTTTAGGTTTTACCTTCAGGCTTTGAATTCATTTTGAGTTAATTTTTGTATGTGGTATAAGGTAAAGCTCCAACTTCATTCTTTTGCATGTGAATATCCAGTTTTCCAGCACCTTTTGTTAAACTGACTGCCCTTTCTTTGTTGAATGATCTTGGTATCCTTGTTGAAAATCATTTAATTATATATGCAAAAGTTTATTTCTGGGCTCTTTGTTCTGTTGGTTTGGTTGTCTTCATGCTAAAACCACAGTTGTCTCCTTCCTTTTGATATTTTTTGCCCCTTTGCTGTTTTATGTTGATAATTGGAAGTTATTGATTGTTGTCAAGAATAAAGTGGGACTAGTTAACTGCCACATTATGAAGAATATGTTGGAATAACTTATTAAAAAAATAACTTTAGTGTATTCTTCTTTTGGCTCTGTGATTTTTGGAGTAATCAGAAAAATGATCTCCCTAAGGGTAAGGATGATGTTCTTAGTTCTTTTTACAGCATTTTGATTGCAGGGTGTGGAGTAATTGATAATCTCTGAAGATGCAAGCGTGTGGTAAATTTGCTGATTGCAGGAGAAACCATTATGTTCCACTTAAATATGCAATTAGAATAGGGCTGGTGGTAATGACTCAGAATGTATCAACCAACATTTTGTTTGTTTGACAGTGGCTTTGAAATCAAAAGACACAAACCAATGACTGATTTGCATATGGAAAATTGATCTTCAAATGTGTCTTTTCTTTAAAGGAAGGGGAAAAAGAGAAAATAAATTGAGAACTTCTTTGCCTTTTTCTAGGGCCTCAAATGGCTCAAACCTGGAAAAGCTAATGGGAAGGACATTTTTTTCTGATAGTCTATTACTTTGGATTCTCTTTTACTGTGTACCAACTAGGTTTGCTTCTTGTATTATTATCTCTTATCAGATGCCTCTGTAGATTTACTTCTATCATTTCCTCTCAAATTCCTCTGGCTATACCCTGCCTTCTCTGCTGCTTACCCTTCCTCTTCCTCAATGTAAAAGCTGTTCATTCTGGTTGGGTCTCTCTCTTCTTCGAATTAGTTCTAATTTCTACTTGTTTGTTGTCTACTGTCAAGAAGGATTTTTCTATCAAGTCGAGTGGGCTTTTCTCTATTCTGGAATAATAATTCTTTTTCTATTGTTCTAAAACTTACAGTTTTTCAAAGTTAAGATCCAGTTTTGTATTTCATGAAGCTCTTCTAGATGGCCATAATTTTCAGTTGATTTCTCTAAACTTTGACTTTGTTTCATTTAGAATTCTCTCTCTGTTTTGTCTGTTTTTGATCTCTCTCCAATGAATTAATAAGTCCTAGAGTAATGACTTTATCTTGTACTTAAATATTACCAGGAATGTAACATAGACTAGACATACATTAGGCATTAACTTTTTGTCTCCACTCGAACTACTCCCTTCCCTTATTTTTCTCTTCTCTTTTCCCCCACCACTTTTTTTTTTTAAGATTTATTTGAGAGAGAGAGTGCATGCACATGCATGAGTGGGGGGAGGGGGAGGAGAGAGAATCCTCAAGCCGACTTCCCTGAGCACAGAGCCCCAGCAGGGCTTGACCCCAGGATCGTGAGATCATTACCTGAGCCAAAACCAAGAGTTGGATGCTCAACCAACTGAGCCACCCAGGCGTCCATCCCCGCTTCTTTTTTAACATTCCTTAGATTTATTTGGTTATAGTTAATTCTTCCAGTGGCATTCAACCTCAGAAGGTCTCCTGACTTAACATGTTAAATTTCTCCTTTGTTGGCATAAAATTTGCTTCATACTATATTTTGAAATAATGTTTTAAACATGTTTTAAAATTTGGATTTCATATCTGCTTGACAATTTACAAGATATCCTCTATATACACAAAAAAACTAGTAAGAAAAACTCACAAAAAATGTTTTATAATGTATATTATAAAGATCTTATCTCCTTAGTTTACAAAGATCTTGTACAAACCAATAAGAATAAAAATTAGTAATTAATAAGGATGTGAAGGCATTTAAGAAAAAAATAGAAATCCAGCTTTCTCATAGTTAAAGAAATGCAAATCACAATGAGGTACTGCTTTTTCTTTTTTAATCATATAAACAAAAATTAGGTTTTATGATATTTAGTGCTGATAGGAGGAGATGGAGAAATGGCCATTTCCATGCATTGTTAGTGGGTTAATCAGTTAGGACTTCATTTGTCTTCAAGTAATAGAAAACCTGTCTATTGCTAATAAGTTTAAACAAATAGGGATTTATTTTTGCACACAGTGTGAAGTTGGCATTGGGTTATTAGTAGCTGATGACGTCAGTGCTGGCATTTCTTAATTTTCCTTGCCCATCCCTTATTGGCTGCTTTAAGGACATAGGTTGTTTTAGATATGTTCACATTCAGGGTGATAAGAAAGTGGTGGAATCTACACTATTTGTGACTGTCCCTTTTTCTCAGAAAAGCAAAATCTTTCCCAGAGCTCTGTAGCAGTTCCATGATTCCCTACATGGGGCTAGATATATTGCTACTCTGACCAAAAACATTGTTCACTAGGAAGATGGTAAGGGGATACTGGATAGGCAACTGAAAGTGTCTTGCTACATGGCTAATGCAATTTTTCTGGAGATAAAATTTCAACATTTTCCCCGATTTAACATACATGTATTCTTTGATTAAGTGGTTCCATTGTTCAGAGATCAAGAATGAAATTAATATATTCCTTTAATAGCTAACTGGGGCTTTTAAAAGGTGGTTTTGATGATGCCAAATAAACATTTGGAAGATGTTCCTCTTTGTGTTTCCACAGATCATTAACTGAAGACGAAATAAACAACTATGCAAAATTCTCACATGGATGAGTACAGAAATTCTAGTAATGGCAGCACAGGCAACAGTTCAGAGGTAGTGGTAGAACAGTCTGCTGATTTCAGTACTGAGATTATGAATGTTACGGAAATGGAACAGTCCCCTGATGGATCTCCTAATGTGAATGCAACTACAGAAGAAAATGAAATAACAAATGCTGTGGACCTTCCAGTGACAGAAACGGAAGCAAATTTCCCTCCAGAATATGAAAAATTCTGGAAAACTGTAGAAAACAATCCTCAGGATTTTACAGGCTGGGTATATTTGCTTCAGTATGTAGAACAGGAGGTTAGTAACTATTTAAATGGGACTAGAAGGGACAGATTAATCAAGTAATAACAGATGAGGTTTACTGTTTTGTAATTAAAATTGCCTCTTTTATAATTTTCAGATTAAGTTGAATAACATTAGATATGTACATTTTTTAGCTTTAAAAATAACTTATAGCATTTGTATGTATTTGTCAATATTAGTACAAAGTCTCATATTTGTAGTAATTGGTGTGTGTGCATACGTGTGTGTATAATCACTGAAATAAAAAGTTACCTTGCTATTTGACAGAATTACTTCCTTTTGTTTCAAAGGATAAGACTGTAATATGCAGGAAAAAGATCTGTGTGTGTGTGGTTTTTAAATCTGCCAGTTTATTTTATTTGAGATAATACATTTGGAAGAAATAATAACTATTTTTGTGACACAAACTTCCAGGATTTTTAAACACCTTGTTTTATTTTCATCAGAATCACTTGATGGCTGCCAGGAAAGCATTTGACAAATTTTTCATACACTATCCGTATTGCTATGGTTACTGGAAAAAGTATGCAGACCTTGAAAAGCGGCATGACAACATTAAACAATCAGATGAGGTGCGTACATTACTGAATAAAATTATCTCCATTAGGTACTGTAAGCCAAATAATAACGAAACAAAAACTTTTTTTTTTTTTTTTTTTGGCTGGCAGTACCTACGATTTATGGTCAAACAATTTTATAGGGTATTTTATTTGCATTTGTCACTCTTGTGGCATTTGTAGCTAATATTTTCTCTCTTTGTTGGCAGGTGCGTTAAACCTCTACAGTTTGTCAAGCTTTGCAGTGCAAGCCTCTGTATTACACTGCAGCTTAACAAGTAGGGCAGGGCTTTTCTCTCACTTACATTTATTTCTCATTTTCCAAACAATATAGTTGGTTTGCTAGTCACATTTGCTACGTCTTATTGCATTTTTGGTCAGACGCTGTCATTGATGCTCTAATGGGTCTGTGCCCTATGGTCTGTAACCCAAAGCCTGCCCACACAACCCGGTCAGAATGCAGGGACTGCTGCGCTTTGAAGATCAAGACTCTGCACGTGGGGATCAGAACATTGCCATGTTCTATCCAACCTCCACCCAAATGGTAATGGTAGATTATTTAAACAAAATTCCAGTAATTAGTATTTCTAAGGTTCACCGGATAACACAGTGTTGCCTCTCTGTTAAGAAATAATTAAATATTTGAAGTACAGTTTGTTGTTTTCTTCTTAGGTGTATCGTCGGGGGCTTCAGGCAATACCTCTTAGTGTTGACCTATGGATACATTATATAAACTTCTTAAAAGAAACATTGGACCCTGGTGAATCTGAGACAAATAGTACAATAAGAGGGTATGCTAAACATTGATATTTTCAAATGCCTTCGAAGTAGAAATAAGTATTCTGATGTTGATAATAGAACTACTCATGAATGCTAAACTGAATGTTTAACATACATTTCTTTTTCACTATTTAAAAAAATGAAACATGTAATAAACTTATGCATGATTATAAAAATTACAGATGATAATGCCCTCATTTCACACCCCATTACTTATGTTCCCAATCCCATTCCCTTTGTGGTTTATGAATTGTGTGTTCTTTCATATACATACGGATGTGTGTACGTGTGTGTGTTGTACATACTTGATTCTTTTTTTTAATGTAACAATGTTTTGGAATCTCTCCCTATCGTAATTTTTCAGGCATTGCAGGTTCAGTTGGTTAAGCGACTGCCTTCGGCTCAGGTCGTGATCCTGGAGTCCCGGGATCGAGTCCTGCATCAGGCTCCCTGCTCGGGAGGGAGTCTGCTTCTCCCTCTGACCCTCCCCCCTCTCATGTGCTTGCTCTCTCTCATTCTCTCTCTCTCAAATAAATAAATAAAATCTTCAAAAAAAAAAAAAGTATTTTGTGGTATCAAAGTACTGTATTTTATTTGCCCAAATCCTTATTTATAGGAAATAATCAGTGGCGCAGGAAACATGTTTGTATTAGTCATTATTTATGTAGAGCATGCTAGAAATGGAACTTTTGTCAAAGAACACACAACTTTTATCAAATGTTCTTTCAAAAGTGGTATCAATTTTAAACTCCCACAGTATATGAGAGTAGTCATATTTTCCCATAGCTGTGCCACATTCTCTTTAACCTCCAGTGATAACTCAGATAGGCAATTTTAGGTTGCCTATCTCTAGGCTGCTCATCCCAGTTTGCCGTCTTTTTGTGTACTTGTATACGCCATTTGCTCATTGCCTGTTCATATCATTTGCTCATTTTACTTCTGGATTGTCCTTTTCTTATTGATTATAGGAAATTTTAAATGTGTTTTTGGTTTTTATTTTTGTCAAAATGTGTGCATATAGTTTAAAAAGTCAGTGTTAAACTGCTTATAACAAAAAGCAGTCCCTCTTCAAGTATTGTAGCTGTTTCTTGTATTTTCCTGTATGTTTATAATAGTAGCTCTTTCTCTCTCTTCATTACATTATGATTTTGTTACGGTAGATGAGATTTTTAGTTCACTTATACTCTGTCTTCCCATATCTTTTCCCATATAGATAGGTTTCAAAGCCTTTTATTTTTCCTGGAGTTAATTACCCCTTTTTATCCTTACCTCCTTTTTCCCACTTGCTTAGTTTTCTTTGAACATTTAAAATTTCCTACCCCTTCCAACAGCTGCTTTCGGTAGTTAGTACTCATAACTGACTTTCCACAGTGTACAAATGCTATGTACATTTTTTGGAAGCTAAAAAATGTATATATCTAGTGTTATTCTACTTACTCTGAAAATTGTGAAAGGGAATTATACTCTGAAATTTGTAAATTCCATTTTTTACCCTTCCTCTTGGGGGATATCCTTGGAACCTTCTCTTTCTGTAGTCTGGATTGGTTGCTCTGTTCTGTTCTGTTTCTGCCACACAGCAGTTATTTTGAGATTTCCTCATCATGATTCTAGGAGATACCTTTACCTCTTTCCTGGGTTTCAAGCTCTAATTTTGAGAGTTTTTTAGATCCTGTTTTTTCTTGGCTGATGCCTACCTTTATAGAAGAGTGCGTCCTATAACTTCTTGATAAAGGATGCTTGGGGTGAAAAAAAATGAAGAGTTTGTAAGTCTGAAACACCCAGTTGATCAGTGGGGTATAGAATTTTGAGTTGGAAGTAATTTTTCCTTAGGGCTTTGAAGGCATCTCTTCACTCTTACCGCTTCTGGTGGTGTTATTGAGAAGTATGGTAACTCTCTGGATTCCCTTTGTATGATTTGTTTTTCCTCATGGATGCTTTTAAAATGTTCTCTTTATCTTTGCTATAAATGCAGTTTTATAATGATATGCTTTGATGTGGGTTTTCTTTTTCTAATTTATTGTGTTTACTTAGTGGGCCTTTTCAATCTAGGGTGCTCATGTCTTTCTCTTCTGAGAAATGTTATTATTGGGATACCTGGCTGGCTCAGTCAGTATAGCAAGCATTCAGCTCTTGATCTTGGGGTCATGAATTGAGCTCCATGTTGGGCATAGAGTTTGCTTAAAAAAATAATGAAATTAAAAAAAAACATGTTATTATTGTGTGTATTCTTAGGTTGATAATTCCCTTCCTATGGTTTTCTCTATTGTTTTTAATAGTTGGACATTGGATCTTATGTTTTAATCATTTAATTTTCTTATTTTTGTTTTTACTTTTTACATGTCAGATTTTGTTGGGCTTTTTGAGGTATTTCCTTGACCCTTGTATTGGATTTTTCCTATCTGCCATCATTTTTTTAATGTCCAAGAATCTTTTTTTTTTTTTTCTCTAAGATTTTATTTATTTCTTTGACAGAGAGAGACACAGCGAGAGAGGGAACACAAGCAGGGGGAGTGGGAGAGGGAGAAGCAGGCCTCCCGCGGAGCAGGGAGCCCGATGCGGGGCTCGATCCCAGGACCCTGGGATCATGACCTGAGCCGAAGGCAGACGCTTAACGACTGAGCCACCCAGGCGCCCCCTTTTTTTTTTTATTGTTCCTTTTCTTATCTCTTCCTATTCTTTGTTACATGGCTTAATATCTTTTTATTACTTTTTTTTTTTTTAAAGATTTTATTTATTTGACAGAGAGAGACACAGCAAGAGAGGGAACACAGGCTGGGGGAGTGGGAGAGGAGAAGCAGGCTCTCCACTGAGCAGGGAGCCCGATGCAGGGCTCAATCCCAGGACGCTGGGATCATGACCTGAGCCAAAGGCAGACGCTCAACGACTGAGCCACCCAGGCGCCCCTTTTTATTACTTTTTAAAAAGTACTAAGGACTGTTAAAGTTATCCTCTTCTCCCATCACGGTTTTCTCTGAAGTGTTTTTGTTTACTCTTCTTTTTTTTTTTTTTTAAAGATTTATTTGACCGAGATCACAAGTAGGCAGACAGGCAAGGCAGGCAGAGGGAGAGGGAGAAGAAGGCTCCCTGCTGAGCATGGAGCCCAATGCAAGGCTCTATCCCAGGAGTCTGGGATCATGACCTGAGCCAAAGGCAGACGTTTAACCGACTGAGCCACCCTGGCGCCCCATGTTTTTGTTCATTTGTTTTCATCTCTGACTTGTCTGATTTCTGGATTTCTGCTCATATTAAAGATAGATTTTAGGGGCACCTGGGTGGCTCAGTCAGTTAAGCATCTGCCTTCAGCTCAGGTCATGATCCCAGGGTCCTGGGATTGAGCCCCATGTGGAGCCCTGCTCAGTGGGGAGCCTGCTTCTCTCCCGCCCACCCCTGCCCCGTGCACACACTCTATCTCAAATAAATAATATCTTTTAAAAAAAGATGAGGTTTTTTTTTTTAAAGATTTTATTTATTTATTTGACAGAGACACAGCAAGAGAGGGGACACGAGCAGGGGGAGTGGGAGAGGGAGAAGCAGGCTCCCAGCCGAGCAGGGAGCCCGATGTGGGGCTCAATCCCAGGACCCTGAGATCATGACCTGAGCCGAAGGCAGATGCTTAACGACTGAGCCACCCAGGCACTCCAAAAGATTAGATTTTAATAAACTGAATGTAAGCTCTGTGTGCTTTATATGCAGGTATTATTAGCTGGCTTGGTGGGCTTCACAGTAGGGCGATCAAATGGCCACTCAGGTTTTTGTTGGGGGAATCCCAGTGTTGGTATCCTTATATTTTACTATTGTGCCAGGCAGTTTCTCATTGAAGGATCATCTGATCTGCCTGGGGAATGTATACCTAGCTCCTGAAATCCCATAGCTGGGCAGGAAAGGAGGTTTAAGGTATCTTACCATTCTTTAAGGCGATCTTCTTGTAAACATCCTGTCTTTAGTTCATTACTTTCTTACCATATTTCCTCTCCCAACTCCCTCCACTTTTCTTAGTGTCTGGTGCGTTAATTTCTTGAATCATTTTGGGATTCTGCAGGGGCAGTAACATGTATTTTACTGTCTTGAAAACCTCAGACACAAACATACACTTGTGCGCACACGTGCATAAACACATACTCTTAATCCTTTATGCGTATATTAACATCCTCCAGTTTTAGCACATTTTTTTTTTTTTTAAGATTTTTATTTATTTTACAGAGAGAGGCAGGGAGAGAGGGAACACAAGCAGGGCGAGCAGCAGAGGGAGAAGCAGGCTTCCCATGGAGCAGGGAGCCTGATGCGGGGCTCGATCCCAGGACCCTGGGATCATGACCTGAGCCGAAGGCAGACGCCCAACGACTGAGCCACCCAGGCGCCCTAGCTTCCTAATTTCTTTTGATATCTTTCAGGAAAATGCCCTCTGCACTGTTCTTTTTGCATGTTAGCTGTATGTTAGAATTTGTTTTACCTGTTCCACTCAAAATTTGTTGGAGCTTTGATTGGAATTGTATTAAGGTTGTAGATTAATACAGGTAGTATAGTTTTATACTGTTAAAAATCCCTCCGGATTGTAAGATAATATTTTGAAAATATGTATCTAAAAGTTTTATCCCATTGGGATATCAAATCCAATGATTAAAATTGCTTACAAAAATTTCTTGAAATGAGTTAGGTAGTTTAAAAACACAAGGTGGTGGTGGTTTGTTTTTGTTTTTTAGTAATCTGTAATTTTAGAATCAGGAGAGACTTCTGAAAGTTTTAAAACATATGTATACTTCTCATTACCTTACCAAGGCAGTTGGGTCCCTTCTTGGAGAATTATTTTGCCAGAAAATTACTCCTTAAATTGAGATAAAATTTGTCTGTTTTCTGCTATAAATGAATCTATTTGACAAACATTTCACATCACAAATATTTAAGTGTCTGCATTGTCACTCTCTATATGTTTGTAATGTGTACACTTTTGCATTGTAATTCTGTATAAGATAAAATTACATAGAAGTACACATATTCCCTTTGTTTCCTTACTCTTTAAAATGTAGCTGTTGTACACTTTTCTATTTCTTCTGCTTTTTACTCCCTACTTGTATAGGAAGCAGTTGAATGTAATTTTGAATTTAGTACAATCTTCTGAAATTTAGAAAGGTTTTATTTTTATTTTTAATTTTTTTTAAAAAATTGTATAATTGACATAAATTCAGTTGTACAACTTAATGATTTGATATTTGTATATATTGGAAGGTGCAGAAATAATATTTTAAAAGTGATTTTATCTTGGAAAGATAACTTAGAGGTAATTTAATTTTTCAGAACTTTCGAGCATGCGGTTCTAGCTGCAGGAACAGATTTCCGATCTGACAGACTGTGGGAAATGTATATAAACTGGGAAAATGAACAGGGAAACCTGAGAGAAGTTACAGCTATATATGATCGTATTCTTGGTATTCCAACACAGCTGTATAGCCACCATTTTCAGAGGTGAGTGAAAAAATCCAATCATTAAAATATTTGATTATTCAGGTAATTAATTAATATTGAGGATTATAATTCTCTTGAAATGTCATGTGAGATTCTTTTAGATGCAAATGAATAAATTTTCTTGCTTGATAATCACAGTTTACACACTTTCAAATTTTGACATTTTCCCATATACTTTATGAAATGTTTAGGAACTTAACTGTTTTTATTTATTTTTAAAGATTTTATTTATTTATTTGAGAGAGAGAAATAGTGATGGAGAGCATGAGTAGGGAGGAGAGGGAGAAGCAGGCTCCCCGGGAGCCTGACTTGGGGCTTGATCCCAGGACTCTGGGATCATGACCTGAGCCGAAGGCAGACACTAACCAGCTGAGCCACCTGGGCGCCCTGGAACTTTACTGTTTTTAAACAGAAGATTTTCTTTATCCATTTTACGGATGAGGAATAATGGGAGTCCTATCTAAGATATTTCAGAGTGGTGAAAGAATGAGAAAATAGAACCCAAGTTTAATTATTCTTTGTGGTACTAAGTTAATAGAGTACATGGCATATAAATATGCTTATTTAAAACTTAATGATTTGCTCGGGGCACCTTGACTGGCTCTGTCGATGGAGCATGTGACTTTTGTAAGTTCAAGCCCCAAGTTGAGTGTAGAGATTACTTTAAAAAAAAAAAAAAAAGAATCTTAAAACAAAAACTTAATGTACATTCTTGTGATTCATATAACACCTTATACCAAAATAGTGAAAGATCTATTTTATGTAGTAAGTTTAAATCTGTTTTTATTCAGTCAAAAATAATTTCATTTAAATTTTCCACTATGATTTTCTGTCATGACTGGTATCATTTCATTTTTATGAGTACTGTTAAAACAACTAATTCTGTATGATGTGATTTCCACATTTTGTTTTCTGATGTACTCAAAATATCCCACTGATAAGGACTCAAAGTCTTTCTGAACAAGAAAGTTTGTATACAAGTATTTGCTATGTTGATAAATACTTGTTTTTTTTAGCTACCATATTTTCTACATTTTTGTTAAAACTTTTATAAGTAGTATAGTGTTAGAGCCTGTAAACTTAGGTACTTTTTAAGTAAGTGATTTTCCAAAATTTTTTTACTAAAAAAGTAGAAGACTACTAAAAAAGTAGAAGACTTTATGAAACATCTAAAAAGTTATGTGGATCAATTTGCTAAAGATAGAAGAAGTTATGCAGATCCAGATGAGGAATAGGAATTGTGTAGATCTGAATATATGGTCTCTGTTTTTTAGAGGAGATGCCCAGGTTTGTACGGTATAATGACCTAGGAAGACACTTAATAAAAGACATTATTAACAAAACTTGACATATGGAAATGCTTGATGAATATTTGTTGAATAAATGAGTACAAAGGTTTTAAAAATCCTTATGAGACAAATAGGAGGCCTTTTCCTAAACCAGTTCTTCTAGGATCAATGGTATAGATAAAAGTCTGTGATGATAAGAACTTTAATTTTGATAAGAAAGATAAAATATAACTAGGAAGCACTTGTTACATGACATTTGCTGTATGCCAGATGCTGTTCTGAATGCTTATTTATAACTTAAGCATGTAACCTTCAGCATTTATAACTTAGTTAATCCTCACAATAAGCCAGTGAGGTATCTTACTATCCCCACTTTATGGGGATATTACTATCCTCCTTTCATGGAAGTAGAGGCACAGAAAGATTAAAATATTTGCATGAGGTCGCAGAGTTAGTTAGTGTTTAGAAGCTGCCTGGAGCCCAGACGGTGTGGCTCCAAAGTTCCTCCAAATCTTTTTTGTTGTTAAATGAACATCCCAGGTGCCTGGGTGGCTCGTTAAGCGTCTGCCTCTGGCTCAGGTCATGATCTCAGGGTCCTGGGATCGAGGCCCATCTCCCTCTGTCCCCCCATTCCTGCTCATGCACTCTCTCTCTCCAATCTTTAAAAAAAAAAAAAAATACCCCAGTAGGGTTTTAAAATTCTATATATGCTTATAATAGACATTAGTGGATTGCATTATACATACTGCTCTTTAATCTGCTTTTTTTTTTTTTTTTTTTTTTTTAAGATTTATTTATTAGAGGGGTGCCTGGGTGGCTCAGATGGTTAAGCGTCCGCCTTCGGCTCAGGTCATGATCCCAGGGCCCTGGGATCGAGCCCCATGTGGGTCTCCCTGCACAGTGGGGAGTCTGCTTCTCCCTCTCCCTCTGCTGCTCCCCTTGCTTGTACTCTCTTGCTCTCTCTCTCAAATGAATAAATCTTAAAAAAAAAAAAAATTATTTATTAGAGGGAGAGGGGGAGAGAGAATCTCAAGTAGACTCTGTGCTGAATGTGGAGCCTGATGCAGGGCTTGATCTCATGATCCTAAGATCATGACCTGAGCCAAAATCAAGAGGCAGATGTTTAACTGACTGAGCCACCCAGGCACCCCTAATTTGTTATTTTTCTTTTAATATATTGACAACCACTTTCCTTATCAATGTATGTAGCAAACTCACAAGTAGTGTTTGTGTAAGTAAATCTTATGACATTACTAACTGCTTTGAGAACCAGTGAAATGTTTTCTTTTGCCTAATACACTCCTACTTGGTCATTTAGTGCTTGCTATGTAAAAGATTATATACCATTTAAGTTGTAGAAATTAAGGCTCAGACAAGCTATGTGTGAATGGTGTTGGCTCTCAAGCTGGTCAGAAGTGTAGAGGAGGAAGCATAATGTTTAAAACAAAAGTGTTCAGGGGCACCTGGGTGGCTCAATCGGTTGAGCGTCAAACTCTTTATTTCAGCTCTGGTGGGGGTCTCAGGGTCCTGGGATCAAGACCCAGGTCGTCCTCTGTGCACATTGGTGAGTCTGCTTGGGATTCTCTCTCCCCCTCCACCACTTTGTGCACAGGCGCGCTCCCCCCACCTCCAGCTCAAATAAATAAATAAATCTTAAAAGTGTTCAAGTGCTGGGTAATAGGTTTAGCCTGGTGATGGGTATTAAAGAGGGCATGTACTGCATGGAGCACTGGGTGTTATACGCAACAATGAATCATGGAACACTACATCAAAAACTAATGATGTAATGTATGGCGATAACATAACATAATAAAAAATAAATAAATAAATTAGACCCCCCACCCAAAAAAATATTTCTGTTGTGTAGGTCTGTATATTAGATGTATACTGATGACATTATCTCTACTGAAATAATGTAATTTAAAATTTTCCTTACCATGAGAGTTTGTGATGTTGATTTAACTTCTCAGACCCGATCCCTGGTAGTTCCTAAGCTCCAGACCTATCTAAATACTGATAATTTCCCAACAGACACTGTTGTTTTGTACTTCTGTGACTGTAATACCTTTTCCACTTCCCATTTGTCTGGTTAACTCAGATTACTCAAAACCATACAGCTTAATGTTTCCTGTGTGGAACTTTAGTTTGCCAAAATAGAAAGTATTTGTTCTGTTATTTGTGCCAGCACTCTGCCTATTTATTTACATTTGTCTTTTTAAAAAATTTTATTTATTTTTAAAGATTTTATTTGTTTGACAGAGATAACACAAGTAGGCAGACCGGCAGGGAGAGAGAGAAGCAGGCTCTCTGCTGAGCAGGGAGTGCGATGCGGGGCTCGATCCCAGGACCCTGGGATCATGAACTGAGCTGAAGGCAGATGCTTAACCGACTGAGCCACCCAGGCGCCCCTACGTTTGTCTTTTTTAAAGTTTTTATTTTATTTATTTTAGGCGGGGCGGGCAGAGGGAGAGAGAAACTTTAGTAGACTCCACGCTGAGCATGGAGCCCAACACGGGTCTCGACCTGGGGCTCCATCCCTTGATCCCGAAATCATGACCTGTGCTAAAACCCAGGCTTGGAGGCTTAACCTACTGTGCCACGCACATGCTCCTACTTACATTTATTTTAACACTAATAATACTGCTTTGAAATTATGTCTCTTGTATATCGCTCTGCACATCTGTCCGTGTCTGAGACTTACTCTTTTTATCCTTAATACATAGGAATAGGGCTCAATATATATTAGACACTCAGCCATTCTTTACTGAATAAATCAGCTTTATAGTTGGAAAGGCTGATGAAAATTCACTGCTTAGTAGTCATATTTTATCACCATTTGAAACAGTTTCCTATATAATACAGCAATTATTTTAAATTTGTTCTCTTTAGTCATCAATTTTAAGTTTTTTATTTGTAGCCTAACAATTTTGAGTTTTAATATTTATCTGAACACTAAATCTGTACATTTTTTTTTTTCTCTTTTTTTTTTAAAGATTTGATTTATTTGACAGAGGGAGAGAGAGCACAAGCAGGGGGAGCTCCAGAGCGAGAGGGAGAAGCAGGCTCCCTGTTGAGCAGGGAGCCCCACATGGGGCTTGATCCTGGGACCCTGGGATCACGACCTGAGCCGAAGGCAGCTGCTTAACTGACTAGGCCATCCAGGCTCCCCTAAATCTGTTTGTTCTCTTACTATACTTTTGAAAATTACTTCCTTTCTAATTTTTTTTTTTTTTTAAGATTTTATTTATTTCAGAGAGAGAGACACAGCGAGAGAGGGAACACAAGCAGGGGGAGTGGGAGAAGGAGAAGCCGGCTTCCCGCGGAGCAGGGAGCCCGATGCGGGGCTCGATCCCAGGACCCTGGGATCATGACCTGAGCCGAAGGCAGATGCTTAACGACTGAGCCACCCAGGCGCCCCTCTAATTTTTTTTTTTTAATAAGGCAGTCTGTATTTGTTCTCTCCCAATGGTGAAATGGATCAAGTTAAGCTTCAGTATTTATTACTAATTCTGTAAAATCTAGATTTGTTTCCCATGTTATTTACATATATTAGTGAAAGCCTTAAAATCCGTAAAAATTCAGGTGTGAATAGCCTAAATCAGTTTTAAGAAACTTGGGGAAAATCCATAAGATTGGAGCATAAGGTACATGTACAACTATATCTAATAATTAGAATGAAGAGGTCAGTCTGGGTTAGAATATGAAAGACTTTAAGGCTATTGGATTTTATCCTGAATGCAGGGTAAATGAACAGAAGTTATTTTGGCAGGAGGCAGTCATGATCATGTTTATGTTTTTCATGTTTACTTTTTAATAACATTTTTGATAGCAGTATTAGCGTTGAGATGGGAATAGTGAGACTAGTGACTAGAAGCCATATATGTTTATCCAGGTGAAAAATGAGAAGGACATGAAGACATATTTAGAAGGTAGAATCAATAGGACCTGATACTCAGTGGAATGTAAGTGAAGTGAGGTCGAAGAGATTTAGAAACTGAGTGGTTGACAGTACCATTAGTCAAGATTAGAAATGCTGAGGGTGTTGATTGGTGGATAAAGATGACACAGTTAGTTTAAGATTTGTACATAAGGTTCCAAATTTAGATAGTGTAGCTATTTTAACTCTTCAACTTAGTGTTTTTGATGAAAATTTGCACATAAATTAGTGTGTGTGGAAAAGTGAAATGACTTTTTTCAAAACACTCAAAATTAACCTGTTTCTTTGTGCAGAGTTTTGGCAATTGGACAGACTAATCTAGAATTGAGGAGAAAAGTATGGGCTTGAGTTAAAGTTTTGCAGGTCACCATAGTATGCTTATTTCTGTATTAATAAGATTGGCCAGGAAGTTAATGAAGATAGATGAGAACAAAATGTCAAATGGAATCCTTGGCAATCCTGACATTCAGGGACCAATAGGAAGGGAGAATCCTCAAAGATCAAGATCAGTCAGAGACTTGGAGGCAAACCAAGAAAGTGGTAACTCAGTGCCTTCTAAAAGGAAAGCATGGTTAAAGGCCTTTAGTAGTGAAGACATTATTAGAGTATAACCTGTACTATGAAACAAGTGTCCATTTAATTTTGCATGTAAGAGGCATTTGGTGACTTTAATTAGTGCAGTTTCATTGGTGTGTTTGGCACGGACACAGATTCAGGAGTAACTGGGAGGTGGGGAAGAAACGGCAAACATTTGTTGATCATTTACAAATGATCATTTATGATTTAAGTAGGGTTTATATTTTAAAGTAATTTTGCATAAATAAATACATTTTGCAAAATAGTATTGTGCCATTTTACATATGAGAAAGCCAAGACTTAAAGAAGGGAAAAACTGGGACGCTTGGGTGGCCCGCTCAGTTAAGAGCCTGCCTTTGGCTCAGGTCATGATCCCGGGGTCTTGGGATCAAGCCCCACGTCAGGCTCCCTGCTCAAGCAGGGAGTCTACTTCTCCCTCTCCCTCTGCCCCTCCCCCCACTCGTCCAAGTCCTCGTCCACGTCCATGCGTGCTTGCTTTCTCTCTCAAATAAATCTTAAAAAAAAAAAAGAGAAAAACTTCCCCGAGGTCAAATAACTAATAATGGACAGAGTTAGGATTTGAATGTATGCCTATCCATGCCTTCTCTGTTACATTGCAAAGGCATAAAAGAAATGAAGATGTCTGTAGACTGTTTCATCAAGTGGTAGGTTTTTACTATAAAAAAGGATAGAAAGGGTTTGGTGTTTTAAATCAGAAATTTTTTGAAAGAGTACTGTGTAGTAGGAATTAAATGTGGGATCTAAAATTATGCTTCATATATAGAGAATTTATTTTTATTGGCTATTTAGATTTAAAGAACATGTACAGAATAACTTGCCTAGAGATCTGCTAACTGGTGAACAGTTTATTCAGCTGCGAAGGGAATTAGCTTCTGTAAACGGACATAGTGGTGATGATGGTCCTCCTGGTGATGATCTACCGTCGGGAATTGAAGACATTACTGATCCAGCAAAGGTAACCAGACTTACTGAAAAATCCTTCAATGCATGAGAAACTAGACTTTATATCCCTTGACTGCATCATGTGTTGTATGACTTGTGTCTCATATAAAATTAATTTCTAATTAAGGCAAGTGGGACTTCTTTAGCTATGGTGTGGTTTAAAAAGAGAGTTAAGGTAGAGAATCTATTTTACTATGAGACACCTGGAAATAGCTTAGAAGGACATTTTGCCCACGTGGTAATCTACTAGTCCCCTTTAAACGTACACAAGAAAGTGGTTTATTAGGAAGTTCTGTTAGAAATTTTAGAATTGTTAAGTGTACTTTCCATATAATTGTTAACAGTTTAAAACTACCACTATTCTCAGATTATAAAGTAGGTATAGATAATACCTAAATTTAAGCAATAATATTAAAAAATTTCAGTATATAACTTGTGTGATTTAAATTTTTTTCTTTTTCTTCCCAAGCTAATTACGGAAATAGAAAACATGAGACATAGAATCATTGAAATTCATCAAGAAATGTTTAATTATAATGAGCATGAAGTTAGTAAAAGGTGGACATTTGAAGAAGGTGTAAGTGTTTTTGTTTTGTAATAGGCTTCAAAATATAAAGATAGGAATAATGTATTTTTCAGTTTTGAGTAATGTCTCTCTACTTTTTATTTTTGCTTATTTAAATACTATTACCAGTTTCCCATGATCAGTTTTATCATTTTCCATTATCAATTTTAGAATGTTATAAAATGAATTCAGATTTACTCCAGTTGGAAGATACTTATTTAATCTGAGCCATTTTATTACAGTTGTTCAATTTTTTAAATCATCTTATTTGAGTTCATACTTTACATACAACAAATGCACCCATTTTAGATGTGTAGTAAAATGAGGGTTTCCCTCCACAGATTCTAATTCTTGTAAAATGAGGGTTTCCCTCCACAGATTCTAATTCTTTATTTCTGTTTTTCTAAACAGCTTTTTTGAGATACAGTTCACTTACCGTATAGTTCATCCATTTAAAGTGTATAATTCAGTAGTTGTTGGTGTGTTCACAGATAGGTACAGCCATCACTATGGCCCATTTTAGAACATTTTCATAACCTCACAAAGAAATTCTTTATCCTTTAGCTGTCACCCCTCTACTCCCTCACCTGTCTGCTCCACCCCTTACCCCCAGCCCTAAGGTACTACTAATCTACTTCTGTTTCTATAGATTTGTTCTGGCCTTTCATTTGAGTGGAATCATATACTATGTGGTTTTTTTGTTGACTGGCTATAAGGTTTGACATGTATTTGCACATTACAGTGCTCCATGGCAATCAGATATGGGACTAGTCTGTCATCCCAGGAAGTTCCCTTGGTCCCTTTTCATTCAGTAACCCCCATCCCACTCTACTGATCTGCTTTCTGTTATACAGTATAATTGTTCAGTTTTAAAATACTCAGTAAAAAAATTTACTGAACGTAAAGAAAATTGTGTAGTGCCATTACAATTAATAAATGAAAGATACATTCTGCTTCTTCAATTTGTAAAGTCTAAGAAATATAATTTTAAAAGTTCTTATCATGAAATACGGTGATTAAAATTTTTTTGGTTCACCATCATTAATTACATACATAATTTAGATAATTCGTATTGTTACTATAGTCATGTATTTTCTGGTGTTGGTATTGGTTTACTTTCATTCCTGTTAACACTATTTTTCCTGTCATACTTTTATTACAGATTAAAAGACCTTATTTTCATGTGAAACCATTGGAAAAGGCACAACTAAAAAACTGGAAAGAATACTTAGAATTTGAAATTGAAAATGGGACTCATGAACGAGTTGTGGTTCTCTTTGAAAGATGTGTCATATCATGTGCCCTCTATGAGGAGTTTTGGATTAAGGTAAGAAAATTAGATGCTCTGAAACTTGAACATATTATAAACATTGATCTAGTGACTAACCTTTTTTGTACTTCTGTTGAATGTTGTTCATATAACTATATCTGTTGCATTAGGAGATGGTCTGCTTGCAACCAGATTTGACTGCTGCATATGCCAACCTCGTTGCCTCTCTTCGTCCTTCCTTACAGAAACTAGTCTAGTGGTTCAATAAAGGTGCTGAATGGGTTTAAAAATAGAATTTTATCGTTCTGTCACATATTTAATGGCTCGTTCAACTGTAAATTATTCAGTATTTCCTTTGTTTCTGTATGTAGTATGCCAAGTACATGGAAAACCATAGCATTGAAGGAGTGAGGCATGTCTTCAGCAGAGCTTGCACTATTCATCTCCCAAAGAAACCCATGGTGCATATGCTTTGGGCAGCTTTTGAGGAACAGCAGGGTAAGAATGAGGAAATTCATTTGGTATTTTTGGGATTTTAAGGTACTTCTGGATAAAGTTCTAGGAATTGAGTCTTTTTTTTTTAAAGATTTTATTTATTTAACAGAGAGAGAGAGAGAGAGGCAGTGAGAGAGGGAACACAAGCAGGGGGAGTGGGAGAAGGAGAAGCAGGCTTCCCGCCAAGCAGGGAGCCCGATGTAGGGCTCGATCCCAGGACCCTGGAACCATGACCTGAGCTGAAGGCAGTCACTTAACCAACTGAGCCACCCAAGCGCCCCTAGGAATTGAGTCTTGAGGGATGGTGTAAAGCAGAGGTCAATAAACTTTTTCTGTAAAGGGCCAGATGGTAAAATTTTAGGCTTTTCAGGCCATATGGTCTCTCTCCTGACAACTCTACCATTATAGCCGAGAAGCATCTGTAGATAATAAACAAATGAGCATGGCTGTTTTCAGTTTTAAATTAAAAAAAAAACAGGTGGAGGGCCGGATTTAGCCTGTGTACTGTTATTTGCCAGTACCTTGCATAAAGGATATTTCAGAAGTTTAAACAAAAGCATAAACATTTAATTAACATTTCTAGGTAATATTAACGAAGCCAGGAATATCTTGAGAACATTTGAAGAATGTGTTCTAGGATTGGCAATGGTTCGTTTGAGAAGAGTAAGTTTAGAACGACGGCACGGAAATATGGAAGAAGCTGAACATTTGCTTCAGGATGCCATTAAGAATGCCAAATCAAATAATGAATCATCGTTTTATGCTATCAAACTAGCCCGGCATCTTTTCAAAATACAAAAAAACCTTCCAAAATCAAGAAAGGTGCTTTTGGAAGCAATCGAAAGAGACAAAGTATGTATTTGTATTTTAGAATATCTTTCATAAAAAAACAAAAAACAAAAACAAAAAAACAACAGAAGAGCAGTGGTCATTGTTTGTTTTCTCATTTTGGCAACTATGATGTAAGATTTGGTCTGTATGTAATATATTTTATTACTAAATGAAGACAACAGTCCCTCTAAACTGATGTTGCCATTCTTTAAAAAATTTTCAAATCATTAGGAATTAAAAGGTTGAGAAAATTAAGATTATTGGATTAAAAATTGTTGCAGACATTGTGACAAATTTAGAAATTTTACAGCAGATTTACTGATTATTCTAAGTAGAGGACTTGGGAGAATATCTTATAAACAAAAGCATGGCTTATGTCTACGTCTTAGCAACTATAACAGTGAGATTCTCCTTTTCCAAAGTATTTCACTTTATCAGTTGATAAAAGGCAGTATATATGATATTTCTCACTTTTTAGATTTTTAGCTAATACCAGGTCTGTTTAAGACACAGGTCTATAACAGTGTGTTTCCAGCTGCAGTTTAAGATGATAACAGTATTAATGGGAACTGTACAAACCATTTTTTAATATTTTATATTTGTCATGGTTGGTCAAGCCACATTAAACCCAAGATAGGATATAGGGTTTTAACTTCCTGGGATTTAACAGTTTGGCATAATTTGGGAGATACTAGGTCATTACTTCTCAATGTGCTAATTAGTTTTGTCACCTGTTTTGATAATATGCTCAAAACATTTAACATGAGTTACATTTTAATACGATTCTCAATATTTTTCAAACTTAGACATAAAATTTAAGGCATTTTAAATATCTGTGTTCTAATAAAAATATCTTAGAAATATTATTAATTGATACTGCTTTTTACACAGGAGAATACAAAGTTATACCTCAATTTACTTGAAATGGAATATAGTGGTGACCTCAAACAAAATGAAGAAAATATCCTAAATTGTTTTGACAAAGCTATACATGGTTCATTACCTATTAAAATGAGAATTACATTTTCTCAGAGAAAAGTGGAATTTCTTGAAGATTTTGGTTCAGATGTTAATAAGTAAGATCTTAATTATTATCTATTTGCATAGTAGATGAGCATTGATAATTTTGGTTGGGAGTTTGATGATTAGTGCAAATTCATATATTGTTAAATTTAAAATGTTTGCCTAGGTTACTTTTTCCTCGTATATATGGAGGGTAAATTCAGTTTTGCAAATGTGTATGTGTTTAACAGGAGGATAGATGGTTTGTCTTTACTTCAAAATTGTTTTCAAAATTTTAGCATGGTAATGTAAACAATGAGAGAAGGCAGGAAACAGCAATCCCATGAAAAAAGAAATGGGTCAAGGATTGAACCCTAAAACACAGAAACAGTATATAGGCCACTAAAGGGGGACGGGCTTAATTTGAAATAGGGATGCCGTTTTATCTCTAATTGGAGAAAATGGATATGGTTGCACAGAGCATGCCTAATGGACTCAATTTAATGCATTGTAAGAAGCTGAAAGTTGAGGGTGGTGGAAGGATTTACTCTAAGGGATTTGGGAAAAGGAGAAGCTTGTGATTTATAGTTGCAAAATAGAAGAGTAGAAGTACCGATTAGAGTATTGCTGCCGTTCCAGTCTTAACTGCTTCTAGTAGGGAACTATCCCACGTAGTAGGCATGTCCCTTTTCTAATTACCCTAATTAATTTAAAGTGATTTCTGTTGAAACAGCTGTTGATAAAATGAGGATTTATGTGTCTTTATATATGTATGTATACATTTTTGATGGTTGAGTAAAATTTTAGCTAAACTAAAAAACATTTTAACATAAGTTAATTTTTAATACAATCGTATATATGTGCTTGACACATTAAATGTGTTTTATGAATTAGCTAAATGTGTTTTATGAATTAGGTATAAGTACTGTTTTTTTGTTGTTGTTGGTACTGTTGTTCTTTTAATAGATGAAGAGAGGCTTAAAGAGATTAGAAATTTTTCCAAGGTCAGTTAGCTGCTATTTCATTGTGCAGCTGGGATTAGAACTTGCTTCAAAGTCTATGCTTCTAACCACCTGTGCTGTATATTTAGTGTCTTCTGTTTATTTTGTACTGAAGAAGGTGCACAAAAGAAATGGGATATTTAATTCCAGGTTTTAGTCTAGTGGATGGTATGATGATCAGAGGAAATATGTAAGTATATGAGGTGGCACAAAACTGTTAAAGGCGACTGATTTCTATGGATCAGAATGGATTTGTCATCCTTCACAGAGGAGATGGGGCTTCATTTAGATACTCCTGGATTCTGACAAGGAGATGATAAAATGGAAGAAAGTTAAAGTTCATTTAAAAGTAAATTTGCTTTATTGGAGGGCTTTTGAAGTAGTAGAAGTGTGATGTTGATTGTGCTGTGTATTGAACAGTAGGCTGGGTTAGAGCACATATAGTACCACAAATAGACAGTAGGACGCTATTAGAGTTTTGACTGGGATTAAATGACGTATTTGAATTTTGCAATAATATGTGGACAAATCTAAGGCTTAACACAAAGATGCCAGTTAGGCCCTTGCAAATATAGTTATAGAGGGTCTGTATATCAGGTCTAAGATTGTTGTAGTTGAAATTTAAAAAGGCAATGATTGAAAAATAAATGAGCTTAGAAATTTAGGTAGCAGCATAATGTATTAGTAAGAATTGATGTTTAATTCAAATATATGCTTAAATCTTAGCTGTGTCACTTACCATTTGTGTATTCCTCAGTTTTCAGATTTTCTTGTTATGATTGAATCTCTCTTATCACCTAATCCACAGGTTGTTAAAAGTCTTAAAAAAACCTAGTCCATTTAAAGTGTTTGATGTTGAGTAAACACTCAACCAGAGATTGCTGGTAGTAACAATTTTATAGCTTCTTGAACATTTTGGGATCAGAGTTACTGGTTGTTATCATTAGATGTGTATGTATGTAGGCTGCCCAGGGAAGTTGTGTATGCATGTCAAGTATATTAAAGTCATTTCTACAGAAATGTTAATTATCTGTGTTCAGGTTTATGATTACTTTAAAAAATAAGGCCATTCGTCTTTATAAAAAATATTTCAGAAAATGGTAAAAGGAAAACAAAATCTTTAGGATTTTACAGTCAGTTTGGCTTCAGGTGACATCGTTTTTGAAGTTCTGAGTTCCAGGTGAGACTTAAAATACACGTATCATGTTAGAAGTTTTTTATTTATTAAAAATTATCTTTTTTTTTTTTAAGAAAAAGGATTTGAGAGCACACACGTGCAGGGGGGAGGGGCAGAGGGAGAGAGAGTCTTAAGCAGACTCTGTGCTTCGTGCAGAGCCCAACATGGGGCATGATCTCACGACCCAGAGAGCATGACCTGAGCTGAAACCAAGAATCAGATGCTTAACCAACTGTGCCACGCAGGCGCATCCTAAAAAATTATCTTTTTAATCAGTGATAATTCCACATTGTAGATTTGAATTAGTTTTTTTTTAAAGATTTATTTGAGAGAGTACAGAGCGAGCGAGAAGAGAGCACAAGTGTGGGGGGGGTACAATTGGGAGGGGGCAGAAGGAGAGGGAGAAGCAGGCTCCCCACTGAGCAGGGAGCTCAATGCGGGGCTCAATCCCAGGATGCTGGGATCATGAGGTGAGCCGAAGACAGACACTTAACTGGCTGAGCCATCCAGGCACCCCTGTAGTTTTGTATTAAGTTTTAATTCAGTTTATCACATGGCCAAAAGTTTAAATATACTTTATCCTAACTGGTGTCCAGTATCTTTAATAAGCAATGTTAAATTAGATCTCAAGTATATAAATCACGGAATGGTCAGGACTCACTCTGCACTAGACAGAAACCCTCAAGGTCACTGTCTTAGTTGTGTAAAAATTTCGTAGGCGGGCTCTCCCCTGTGTTAGAAATAACCAAAGGTAGCTCTTGACCAATATCCCATCACCTTTAGCCAACTGTAGTACAGAGAACAAGCATTTTTCTAGTAGCTCAAAAATCCCAGGACTTACTAAATGTCTAGGTTTGGGTTATATTATTGGTCAGGGGTATATAGTACTGTAATTGGCCAGTCCTGAATCCCTGAAGCCCCATTTGAATCACATGGGCTGAGAAGGAAAGTGCAGAGTAGTGCTTTCCCAAAGGAAATATATTGGAAAAGGTAGCTGGGAGGTTTGTTTATTGGTTCATTAAAAAATAATAAAAAATCAATGGATACTCATTGCAACATATTTTTGTTTCCAAGTGGAAATAAGTCCAAAACTTTATAAATTTATCAGTTTGGTTTTTGTATATTCCAGAGGATTTTTTTTTCCTTCCCTCTCAGGCTTTTGAATGCTTATGATGAACATCAAACACTCCTAAAAGAACAGGATTCTTTAAAAAGGAAAGCAGAAAATGGGTAGGTAACTCCTTGCTGAATCAGGAAGGGATGCTTAGAAGACATTTCATTGTGGAAATGCCTTTAAAGATAAATATTTTTACATGTTAACCTTCATGTTGTGGCAATTTAGTGCTTTATATTCAGAATTTGAAAAAATCAAAACTGGTTAAAAACTTTACTAAAACAAATGTACATAGGTACAAATGTACACATTCATCCACTTGTTTTAAAAGTACTTATCTCTGGGAGTTTTGAAAGTTTCTGTTTTATCCTTTTTAGGTCAGAAGAACCAGAGGAAAAGAAAGCTCACACAGAAGATACAACTTCATCATCTACACAGATGATTGATGGTGATTTACAGGCAAATCAAGCTGCATATAATTATAGTGCCTGGTATCAAGTGAGTTCACATAATTGAATTTTTTGTTCATAGATGTTAATTAGAAAAGCATAAGTTAGGATAGTTTATTTTTTTTAACAACTACTTTTTTTTTTTTTTTTAAGATTTTATTTATTTATTTGAGAGAGAGAATGAGATAGAGCATGAGAGGGGGGAGGGTCAGAGGGAGAAGCAGACTCCCTGCTGAGCAGGGAGCCCGATGCGGGACTCGATCCCCGGACTCCAGGATCATGACCTGAGCCGAAGGCAGTCGCTCATCCAACTGAGCCACCCAGGCGCCCCTTAACAACTACTTCTACTCCAGACTGTACAATAAATTGTCTTACGTGGTTAACTCTTAGAATTTTAGCAGTGAGCACATGCCTGTTTTCTTAAATGTACCTGCTTTTATAAATGGAACCAGCCAGTTCTAGTATGCTAACATGTGTGCTTTTTCCTTTCAGTACAATTATCAGAATCCTTGGAATTATGGACAGTATTACCCTCCTCCTCCAACCTGATGAGAAAATATATCAGATGGAAAGTGTGAAAAATACGAAATTATTTTTTTTTAATGAGGGATGTAAACATAGCGTAAACTTGTTGTATTTGATAACTTGTCTTCCTATTTCTGTGTAACATGATTTGTTTAGTAATAGGGGAAAATGTCACTTAGTAGCTTACCACAGATACTATTTCCTACCATTTATAAAATTTACTTTTTATTGGAGAACTATTTTTTTGATTTTTGCATTAAGTGGTCTAGAATTCTTTTGCAATGCATTTGCAACAGAGTTTTGTAGCCTTAAGGGGTAGGAAAAAAAAAACTGACTGCAAATCATGTCAGTGTAATACAAGATCTGAAAATACATAAGGGCTGGTTATTAAGGATTTACCTCTGTAAAAAAAATGGATTTTTAACCTTTGATGACAAGGTTTTGTCTGTTTCAGTTATCCTTGTGAATTTGGATTTAACTGCAGAAAAGATATACTATTAAACACTATGTCTTGGGATAGAGATTATAAATGAAAAAAAAAGGAATGTTTGCATCCCTTTTAAAAAATGAAAATCATATCAAAAGTATGTTGTTTCAGGAGACTTTGTATTTAGAATATTCATGTAAAACTTGTGAGCAAGCTTTCATTTTGATCAAACTGATCATCCTCATTTTTGTAATAAAACTGAAGACTCCTCTATAAATTGTTACGAATTTATTGGGGGGTGGATCACCTCACAATATTAACTTTTATTCATCATTATTAGTGGTTCATTGGTTTTGAAGTATACTTTTCTTGAATTTAGTTATTATCTTCTTGCCAGAATTAGACCATTTAGCTTTTTGCTTCCTCCGTTTCTGTGCTCATTTTCACTATACAGGAATATTTATTTAAAGATTTTTTAAGAGGAGGGGTACCTGGGTGGCTCAGTTAGTTGAGCGTCCGACTCTTGGTTTCAACTCAGGTCGTGATCTCAGGGTTGAGATTTGAGCCCCATGTGGGGCTCCGAGCTCAGTGGGAAGTAAGCTTGAGATTCTCTTTCTCTCCCTCTCTGCTCCTCACTCTCCCTCAGGTCATGCACATGCACTTTTTCTAAAAAAAGCTTAAAAAAAAAGTTCTTAAAAGATCTTTAAAAAAAGGTAAAGATTTTAAGAGGAGTGCCCCTGGCAAAGCTGTCTAGACAATTTTACTGTAACTCCCTGTTCTGATTAAAGCCTTAGCTCTGGTTAACCTAATCAGAACATTTATATATTAACACCAAACAAATCAAGACACTGAATATGTTTTTATTGAACCTTTTAGTTTACAACATGAGGTAAAAGGAAAGTCATTTCTCCTTAACTAATATTTTACACAGCTGTAGTAAAATATTTCAAATTTTAGGGAATTATAATGGATTACATATATTAAAAGTTGGGGATTGGGTAAACAATATCGGAGTTCTTGAATTTTCCGGTTGACTCTTCCCTTACAATAGTAACCAGCTCTAATTAGTTACATAAGTTTCTTCAAGGCCATGTTTTATTGTTGCTGATGTCTTTATATCCGAAGCATTGCTATTTCAGTCAATATCCACTAACTCCACTTCAAAAATGAGTTTTGCATTTGGTGGAATTCTGTTGAAGAAGTCAAGGTAAATTCGATAAAAAGTGTTTCTTCCTTCACTCCCAATAACCTCAGTCTAAAATTGAACTATATATAATGGATATTGGGTATTAACCCCAAAGGGAAGGGCTTTATGACTGACTGAGGCGCTAATACATACTAGCCTAGTGGTTCCTAAAAGTATCTTTGTGAATGGTGATCATAACCTATCAGTAGAGGCTGACTAGATAGGCTGAGCTTGACTAGGATCTTCCTTTCTTGGATGCCTCCTAGTACTCCCAACTTAACTACCACCTAATGAGAATTGCTGCTCTGTGCTTCAAAAAAAAAAGTGATTTCAGTCTAGTTGGGTGTAAAAGTGATATTAAATCAAAGTTCATATGAGGTAGTGCCTGATCTCTGCTATGAATTTTAAGATGCTGAGTTCAGAGAAGTGTGATTTTTATCTGATTGGTTTTGAGATGCTTCACATGGGAGAGGGGGAGCTGTAGTTGGGCCACCTAGTTTTGATAGGCTTAGAGGAGGACTATTATATTCCTAAATAATCTTAACTGATAAGATTGGAGAGGACTTCCAAATTTTTTAAAAGTTACTTTAACTGATCCAATTAGTCCAATGGGAATGGAACCAACAACAGAAAAAACTACCTTCTCACTTAGTTACGGGATTGTTCTGGTCAGCATGGTCAGGAGGCATGGCTTTTTAATTTTCACAAACCAGGCCTATCAGAAAAGTATTGCCAGTAGTAGTAATCACATATGCTTACACATTGTTGGACCCATGGTCTCCTTAATTTCATAACTGGTAATCCCCAACATGTGTTCCATTTCTAAGCTTTGAGTACCCATTTACTTGCCTGAAATTACACTGTAGCATAAAATAACCATGAGCCATACTTGTATCCTGTAATTTGCTTTAGTTGTTTGTACTGGACATCTTTTTTTTTTTTTTTAAGATTTTATTTATTTATTGAGAGAGAGAGAATGAGAGACAGAGAGCATGAGAGGGAGGAGGGTCAGAGGGAGAAGCAGACTCCCTGCCGAGCAGGGAGCCCGATGCGGGACTCGATCCTGGGACTCCAGGATCATGACCTGAGCCAAAGGCAGTCGTTTTAACCAACTGAGCCACCCAGGTGCCCCTGTACTGGACATCTTAACTCCTTGAAGTACGTCCTTCATATGGTAACAATTGCCTTTCAAAGATGAAAACTTTTAAAACCTCGTAATTTACCTCTTAAAAATAAAAAACTTGAGTTCAAGAAGAAAAAAGGTAGATTCTATTCTAGCTCAAGCTCATACACTTTGTATCAAAAAATACTAACTACTGTCTATATTGGAGGTGTTGACACAGAAGCATCTAAATATCAGGAATACTAGTCTAGACATGATTCCTGATCTGGAAGTTAACCTACACAGTATCTTTTATACATTCAGGTGGTCTTTCTTCGTGTTTTTTCTTTACTCACAAAGGAAAAAAGGATACTTGGCATCAGGCTGTCCTTTCTTTCCATAAGCCCATTCTGGTTCAATCTCTAGTCGAGCCTTTTCTCCTTTACTCATAGTTAAGAGTGCTTCATCCCACTAAAGGCAAGAATATGAAATAAAAACTAATGATAATTTGCAAAAAAAAAATTTCATGAAAAACTAGAAGGCCAAATATACCAAAAACCATTCTGTTACTGGATTTCATTGTATTGTAAGGTAATGTCCTTGGGTGAATCTTTGTTCTTTATTTCCTCAATGAAAAAAAAAAAGATGTTAAACAGTAATTTTTTAGTGCAGTACACTTTTTTTTTTCTTATTAAATTATTTACTTATTTCACTTGCACCACAGGTCAAAATTCAAACTGTACTCTCATATTTAGTTCTAGAAAATTATTGGACATTTGTAGATAAATCAGTTGTTCATAGGCTAAATCAATGTCATAAAGTATTATTAAAATTAATAAGGCATCTCTATATAATTGTTGAAGTTTTATAAATACAATTTTTCATCATCTGTGATATTAAAATATTTGATTTGATAATTCTTTTTTTTTTAATTTTGTTATGTTTATCACCATACATTACATCATGAGTTTTTGATGTAGTGTTCCATGATTCATTGTGTATAACACCCAGTGCTCCATTTGATACGTGCCCTCTTTAGTGCAGTACACTCTTCAAATGCTACAATGTGAAGGCACTTTTGTAAATGTTAGATGTCCTAAGTTATGGAAACCAGTTTATTAGTACTATCATAAAAAACTTGCTACACTTGTTATATCCTAGGCAAACTTCTGAATTTATATTATAGGGATAAACTAACAATAGAATTGTCTTAAGATCACTAGACTGTGGAGTCATGATGGCACACATAAAATAAACTACATGTTAGGGCATGAAGACCTTCTGTAGAAGGTAAAATTATTCAAAGAAATGATACAGGTTTCTGGGCTGCCACTCCAGTTTGTCCAAATTTGGATCTTTTACTTTTTTTTTTTTTAAGTAAACTCTACCCCCAATGTGGGACTTGAACTCAAAACCCCCAGATCGAGTCACATGCTTTACCAACTGAGCCAACCAGATGCCCTGGATCTTAAAGCCAGTTCCTAAAAACAGTTAAATATAATAACTAATATCAAATACTCTGTTGAACTGTCACTGTCACACAAAGCTTAAGGAATAGAGATCTGTTACATAATGGAAATTAAGAATATGGTTCACTGGAAGAAATACACAAGCAAATTAGTCAGAAACAAAAACTGATCAACTTGATATATAGTTAGTATCAATTTGGTATAATCAAGTAGCAGTTAAGGTTCTTTTTTTTTTTTTAAGATTTTATTTATTTATTTGACAGAGAGACACAGCGAGAGAGGGAACACAAGCAGGGGGAATGGGAGAGGGAGAAGCAGGCTTCCTGCTGAGCAGGGAGCCTGATGTGGGGCTCGATCTCAGGACCCTGGGACCATGACCTGAGCCGAAGGCAGACGCTTAACGACTGAGCCACCCAGGCGCCCCGGTTAAGGTTATTTTCAACTAAACCTTTAGTTTCAAGATGTTTTATAATCTGTTTTGGGCTTTGAGTATGATTGAGCCATATTTTAGGACTTACAGTATAAAGAGTAACACAGGGTTCTCACAGTGCATTTAATAGGCATTTCAGTTATAATGTTTGATGTTGTGAATAAAGACATTTTAATGGGCCCTGGAATAACCATTTGAATTCAGTGAAGCCAATAATCAGCCCTGCTCTATTACCTCCTTTGGTACACTGCATTGGTCAGTACAGCTCAATCCTACCTTCTTCCCCTTTTCTCAAAGTTTCCTTCTATTATCTCTCCCTTGTAAGGGTAGGTAAAAAAGGCATACTTATATTTGAAAGATTTCCTGGTGTTTGAACCCTGGTTGTGAGAGGTGAAAAGGCCCAGAACAAACTTTTGCTTCTATCATTAAGTACTTCAGTGAAACTGATATTTTACCTTTCTCTATCATGAGTAAGTGGTACAACAACTATGTAACGTTTTAAAAGAATCTTAAATTTAGAAAGCCAAACTTGCTGATGAAGAATTTATGATGAAAAATAATAAAAGGGGTAAGCAAGAAGAAAATAATATTTGAGTCTCCATGCACTGTAGTTATGCATACTTAATTGTTTAGCAACCTTGAGGAAGATTGTACCATCCATAAGCAAGACCCAGAAAACTTGTGCCAGATCAGTTAGCAATGATAGCACCTGATTTGTCAGACTCCAAAGACTGTTTTCGTCATATCCCCAATCCTAATTATGGTGCCATACCACATGTAGCATGTGCCAGAATATCTGATTCATTGCCATTTTTTACTTACTCCTCTGATAACTTTGCCTATTCCAACCTTAAAACTTAAAGGCTTGGCATTTTTCTTCTTCTTTGAACCTGTAAAACAAATTTTCCTTATAATGCATGATGAAATTAAGTTCCAATGGAAAAACACAGTGATTTAAGTCTTTAATTTTAGAACTTACCATATTATGCATTTGAAAAGAAAAATTCAGAAAACTAACTCATCAAGAAAATTCTGTGTGTAAAAATAGTCAAAAGGGGGGAGATGATAATATTTACACTACTAAAACAGCACTCTATTCTGCTTTTTACATTAAAAACGAAAGCCTCAACTTTGGGACATTAACCAAGTTTAGACTAAGCTTATTTTTTGCTCCCCAATGACCAAGAGGTATTTCTTCACCCAGCCAATAAATAGTGAACTAAAGACCTCTGAGTCCAAGTAAATCACAGGTGCAAAAGACTTCTGGAAAAAAGTGACAGCCAAGAGAAAGGTACAGCCAACTGTTCATGTACCACACAAATATTATGCAATGCCTTAAAGCTAAAAAGATAAGATTACATTTAGACTTACTCGTTTGAATATTAGTATCAAAAACAGTCCCATCCTGTAGTGTTCCTGTATACCAGCAGTGAACAACATCTCCCTTTTTGGGAAAGTTGGTTTTATCTCCTTTTTTAAGAACAGATTTTATGTATTTTGGTGGACCCTAAAAAACAAACAAAAACAACACACACAGTTAGTAACTCACATCCTTCTTTTAGAAGGATGACAAAGAGAATTCTTACATAGCCAACTGTGACCCAAGTCTGGTCACAGAGCTTCACAGATGCGGTAACAGACCATTTTGCCTCTGGTTCATGTCTTAGTTTAAAAAAACTCACCATCTAATTGCAAGTCTGTGGTGAGAATATTAGTAAATAGCCTATCTATAACTTAATTTCAAGTAACTTCCAGCTACCTTGGAAACAAATGTTCTTTTGACAAAATTCTATTCAACAAACCATAAAATAAATCCTATTATTTTCCAAGGTTAGAAATACCATTACTATTTAATTCCTATAAAATCATAAGGCACTAAATAAAGCATTGTGACAGTTTTTTCAAAGATTTGAGTTGTTTAGCACCAATACTTGACGTTACTAAATTTAGAACGAATACAGTAATGTTCCATTTGTTTCTGAACTTGGAAGTTCATATAATAAACAGAATTGTCAAACAAATCACTGTAACAGACATTTCCTAGAACAAAGCAGGATTATCAGGCTCTTTTTTAAAGAAAGGTAAAGGCTAATGAGTGGTGATTCATATATGTGAGAAAAGCAGTTTATTTTTTGCAGTACTTTAATACTGATAAAGTATCAGTTTATTATTGATAAAAAAATATGTATGATAAACTGAAATGTAAATGGATAGTAAGTTGAAAGAGAAAGACTAATTTATGCCAGGCCTTTATTATTGCCTTACAATTACTAATGTCAAATGCTGCTCAAATACTTGAGCTATTTTATCTATCCTATGTAAAAATTGTCATAGATTTCATAATGCTAAACAAAGCTCATTATAGACTGTGTTGTGTTCTGCCTCCCATAATACAGTCTTTGGTTCTTATCAGTATGATTATTATTTATACTATTTCAAATATTGTGATGCATTAAAGAAACTAATCTTTAAAAGTCAATGTATCAATATTAAGCCCATTTTTATTTTTTTAAATGTTTTAGAAATTATTATTTAATTCCAGTGTAATTAACATACAGTGTTATATTAGTTTCAGGTGCACAATAGTGATTCAATAATTCTATACATTACTCAGCACTCATCAAGGTAAGTGTATTCTTAATCCCCTTCACCTACTTCACCCATCCTCCCGACCTACTTCCCTTCTGGGAGAAAAGCAATTTCTTTTTTTTTTTTTTAAAGATTTTATTTATTTATTTGACAGAGAAAGACACAGCGAGAGAGGGAACACAAGCAGGAGGAGTGGGAGAGGGAGAAGCAGACTCCCTGCCGAGCAGGGAGCCGATGCGGGACTCGATCCCGGGACTCCAGGATCATGACCTGAGCCGAAGGCAGTCGCTTAACCAACTGAGCCACCCAGGCGCCCGAGAAAAGCAATTTCTTAATCAAATTTAAGAACATATAGAATTTTTAGGGGCCCCTGGGTGGCTCAGTCGTTAAGCGTCTGCCTTCGGCTCAGGTCATGATCCCAGGGTCCTGGGATCGAGCCCCGTATCGGGCTCCCTGCTCCGCGGGAAGCCTGCTTCTCCCTCTCCCACTCCCCCTGCTTGTGTTCCTGCTCTCGCTGTCTCTCTCTCTGTCAAATAAATAAATAAAATCTTTAAAAAAAAAAAAAAAAAGAACATATAGAATTTTTAAAAAAAGAATATATAGAATTTATATAGAAAACCTGAAAGACTCCAGCAAAAAACTGCTAGAACTGATAAATGAATTCAGTAAAGTCACAGGATACAAAATCAATGTACAGAAATCTGTTGCATTTCTATATACCAATAATGAAGCATCAGAAAGAGATATTAAGAAAACAATCCCATCTACAGTTGCACCCAAAATAGGATACCTAGGAATAAACCTAACCAAACAGGTGAAAGACCTTGCTCTGAAAAGCATAAAACATTGATAAAAAGAAACAAAGGATACAAAGAAAGGAAAAGACATTCCATGCTCATGGATTGGAAGAACAGATATTGTTAGAATGTCTATACTGCTCAAAGCAATCTACTATGTTTAATGCAATCCCTATCAAAATACCAACATCATTTTCCACAGAGTTAGAATAAACAATCCTAAAATTTGTATGGAATCAGAAAAGACTCCAAATAGCCAAAGCAACCTTGAAAAAGAAAAGCAAAGCTGGTGGCAGAATTCTGGACATCACGTTCTATTACAAAGCAGTCGTGATCAAAACAGTATGGTACTGGCACAAAAACAGATACACAGATCAAAAGAACAGAACAGAAAACCCAGAAATAAGCCCAAAACTATATAGTCAATTAATCTTTGACAAAGCAGGAAAGAATATCCAATGGGAAAAAGTCTCTTCAACAAACGATCTTCGGAAAACTGGGCAGCAACATGCAAAAGAGTGAAACTGGACCATTTTCATTCACCATACACAAAAATAAATTCAAAATGGACTGAAGATTTAAATGTGAGACTTGAAACCATAAAAATCCTAGAAGAGAGCATAGGAAGTAAGGTCTCTAACATCGGCTGTAGCAACTTCTTTCTAGATACATCTCTTGAGGCAAGGGAAATAAAAGCAAAAATAAACTATTGGGACTACATCAAAATAAGTTTCTGCAGAGGCAACAATCAACACAACTTAAAGGCAACCTATGGAATGGGAGAAGGTATCTGCAAATGACATAGCTGATAAAGAGTATCCAAAATACATAAAGAACTTACACAACTCAACATCCAAAAAAGAAATAATCCCATTTAAAAATGGGCAGAAGACATGAACAGACATTTCTCCAAAGACATCCAGATGGCCAACAGACACACGAAAAGATGCTCATTGGGACGCCTGGGTCTGCCTTCAGCTCAGGTCATGATCCCAGGGTCCTGGGATCAAGTCCCACATCGGGCTCCTTGCAGCATGGAGTCTGCCTCTCCCTCTCCCTCTGCCCGTTGCTCCCCCTACTTGTGCTTATTTGGTCTGACAAAATGAATAAAATCTTAAAAAAAAAAGATGCTCATCACTTATCATCAGGGAAATGCAAATCAAAACTACAATGAGATTTCACCTCACACCTGTCAGAATAGTTAAAATCAACAACACAGGGGCGCCTGGGTGGCTCAGTCATTAAGCGTCTGCCTTCGGTTCAGGTCATGATCCCAGGGTCCTGGGATCGAGCCCCGCATCGGGCACCCTGCTCGGCGGGAAGCCTGCTTCTCCCTCTCTCACTCCCCCTGCTTGTGTTCCCTCTCTCGCTATGTCTCTCTCTGTCAAATAAATAAATAAAATCTAAAAAAAAAAAAAATCAACAACACAAGAAACAACAGGTATTGGTGAGGATGTGGAGAAAGGGGAACCCTCTTGCAGTGTTGGTGGGAATGCAAACTGGGTGCAGCCACTGTGGAAAACAGTATGGAGCTTCCTCAAAAAGTTAAAAATAGCAATTGCACTACTGAGTATTTACTGAAAAAAGAACACTAATTCAAAGGGATACATGCACCCCTATGTTTATAGCAGCGTTATTTACAAAAACCAAGATAAGGAAGCAGGCCAAGTGTCCACTGATTGATGAATGGATAAAGAAGATGTAGTATATATATATATATATATATATATATACACAATGGAATATTATTCAGCCATAAAAAAAGAATGAAATCGTACCTTTGAAGTGACATGGATGGAGCTAAAGTATAATGCTAAGGGAAGTAAGTCAGAGAAAGACAAATACCATATAATTTCACTTATGTGGAATTTAAGAAACAAAGAAGCAAAAGGAAAAAAGTAAGAGAGACAGACAGACAAGACAGACAAACCAAGAAACAGACTCTTAACTGTAGAGAACAAACTTGATGTTACCAGAGGGGAGGTCGGTGGGGGGTGGGGGGAGAAGGGTTAAACAGGTGATGGGATTAAGAAGTCCACTTGTGGTGATGAGCACCAGGTGGTATGTGGAAGTGCGGAATTACTATATTGTACACCTGAAATGAATATAACACTATTGTTAACTAATGTTAACTAACGTTAAAATAAAAACTTAAAAAGAATATATAGAATTTTACACTACAAAACATTTAATAATGGGAAAAGAAAATAATAGACATTAAACATCTATTTGCCAGTTACATAACACATACGATCCCCACTTACTCTTAATCCTCTGAAGAAGGTATCACCTACTTGCATTTTTGCAGATGAAGAAACTGCGAGTCAGGGAATTTGCAACAGAGCTGATGAGTAGTAGAGAATGAATATGGATTTGGGTTTGTCTGAATCCAAAGCCCCTGTTCCTTCCACTATGCCTAAATACTTCAAATAATTGTACTAATGGTAGTTAACCTCTACTGGTATTAGTTATGTGCTCTATGTGCTGGGCACTATCCAAATGCTTTACATAAATTAACTCTTAATTGTTATTACCTTATGAATTAGGTACTATTATTCCTATTTTACAAAAAAGGAACTATAAGGATAGAGTGGTTAAACAACTTGCTTACGGACCTACAGCTCCCAAGTGGCTGAGTAGGACTGGAAACCAGGAAGCCTGCATATAAGTCCCATGCTCTTTATCACTTTACTCAAGCGCATATGGAATGTCAGGTATTACACAATTCATTTTATTTTTCTTATGTCAACTCATTTAACCTTACAGCTACCTGATAGTCTTTTATACCAGAAAGTAATGCCTGCATAGAGTATAAAGCCATATTCAATTTAGAGCCTAAGAATTAGCACTTTCAACTAAAGCTAGGCTGCCTTCCTAAATCAAGTCACATCTACAGCATGAGTACATGTATTATTACAAAAGCAAACATTAACTTTCTTGCTGATGCTCCCATTCCAAGCTTGTTTTAATGAAAAATGCTACTATAAATGGTCAGGTGTCTACAAGCAGCAGTGTAAACTGGTGCCATCTCTTTGGAATGCAATTTTAAAAGGTTAGAAGTGTGATAATAATAATACTATTCATACAAATATATGCTCAAGAAGTAATCTGAAGGGCGCCTGGGTGGCTCAGATGGTTAAGTGTCTGACTTTGGCTCAGGTCATGATCCCAGGGTCCTGGGATCGAGTCCTGCATCAGGCTCCCTGCTCCTTCCAGGAAGCCTGCTTCTTCTGCCCCTCACTCTCTGTCTCTCATGAATAAATAAATAAAATCTTTAAAAAAAAAAGAAGTAATCTGAAGCTTAGGAAAAAAAATCTTTGTGCAGTTATTCAGTGCACTATTATCCATAGTGGTAAAATAACCACATGTTTATGGTAATCTAATACTCAGTTTTTTATAATGTGGAAAAATTCTTATAAAGTGAAAAATCAATAGAAATTTCTAACTATAGTAATATCTCAAATATTTAAATTAATATGCACTTAGAAAATATTCAAAGACAACATTCTGAAATGTTAAACATGTTCATTTCTAGGTGTTGGAATATTATGTATTCTCTATACTTTTCTATTTTCTATTTCAAAAATAGCATACAAATATTTTTATATCAGAAAAATGATATTTAAAAAATATGGTTGACTTACAAAATCTGGTAATATGAGAATGACTATGTAAATTTTCTACGCAAAAATATTAGACTATCTTAAGACTTTATTAAAGAAATCACACATAACTATTTGAATGGATAAGGTACGATTAGTGAACAATAACCACATTTTAAATCTTAATATCATTTCACTGTTTTCCCATTTGTTGTCCCAAGTTGCTTGGGCATATTGTGTTATCTACATTAAATCTAGGCCCTAGAATAATGCAAAAAAACCCCATTAAATTGGTGATTATGGCTCAGTCTTAATGGTGAAGGTGCCAGTCTGCCCAGGGATAGCCTCCATTTCAGTGTTTCACGAAGTATCTTTTACAGATCACTTATTCCTTAGCATTGTTAACACTGTTAGAGAAGAAAAGGGGTCTACCATAATTAAGTTTGGGAAACACTAAAGTTAAAGATGCCTCTATTCTGCATGACTTCTCAGAGTTGTCATCAGCTAACATGCACTGTGAATCTTCAAGTAGTACAGGTTTTGATGATGCCAGAAAACAATTTGGACCTTTTGGGACCTATATAACACACTTTGAGAAATGCCACTGTAGTTATTTGATCTGATTTTAGGTTTCACTGCAAGAACCTGTTTAGTTCATGGTGAGAAATCAGATCAGTCCCAAGGCTATAGCTAAGTTATGTGCTTGAATCGACCTGGCTTTTAGATAATTTCTTGGCTCTGCAGCAATTTCTTAGTTGAGAGTGATGAAAAGAACTACATTCTTTTTTTTTTTTTTAAAGATTTTATTTATTTATTTGACAGCGAGAGACACAGCGAGAGAAGGAACACAAGCAGTGGGAGTGGGAGAGGGAGAAGCAGGCCTCCTGCCGAGCAAGGAGCCTGAGGCGGGGCTCAATACCAGGACGTTGGGATCATGACCTGAGCTGAAGACAGATGCCCAATGACTGAGCCACCCAGGCACCCCAAAAAGAACTACATTCTTGAGACTAGATCTGAACTAGATACTTGTAGATACAGAGATAAAGGAACTTTGAGAGTAATCATTACAATTTCAGTTAACTGGATCACATCATAGCCTCTAAAAATGAGTATGTTACATAATTATCCCTATTATTAATTCAAGAAATATTTGAGCATGTTTCATGTGTTAGAAACTGAAGATAGGTAGGGGAGGTGGTAGACATAGTCCTGACCCTCATGCCAGCAGAGAATACAGTCATGTGTATAACTGTATGGGTTTATGAGACCTAAAGCGGAAGCACAAGTGCTAAGATAGGAATGACACAGCAACCTAACCCAGTACAGCTACAGGCTGGGAGAGGTTTCTTTGAGGTAGGCGATTGGGGAAAGGCTTATAACAGAGAAGAGCATTTTTATAGCAGGGCATAGCATGAAAATAGTATAGTCTGCAAGGGAGAAGTGAAGGAGACAGTGGTATGAGATGAGGCTGGAAAGACATGTAGCACATGTTAGGAAACTTTTTTTTAATCTTCAGGTCACTGAACAGCCAATTAAGAGTTTTAAAGAGAAGTTACAGAATCAGATTTGCATTTTATTTTTATTTTATTTATTTTTTAAAGATTTATTTATTTGAGAGAGAAAGAGCATGTGGGGGGAGGGGGGAGGGGGGAGGGGGGAGGGAGAATCTTAGGCAGACTCTGTGCTGAGCATGGAGCCTGATGCAGGGCTCGATCTCACAACCCTGAGATCACATCCTGAGCTGAAACCAAGAGCTGGACACTCAACTGACTGTGCCACCAGGTGCCCCTGAGAAAAGAAGTCTTTAAAAAAGGGATATACTTTAGGATCCTCACAAGATCCCTCTAGATTGTTCCAGCCCTTACACCCTTTTATTTGTAGCTCTCTTTTTCTTAACCTCTTAATGATATACAATCTGTTGTCTCATACCTACTTTATTGTTATTTTCTGGAGGGTAAACTATTTTACCAATAGCTTTTGCAATCCTTTTATTATACCTTTATTTACCTTAGTAGCTGCTCAGTATTTGCCCAGTATATATAACATTTATCAAATAATATTAGATGTGATAAACCTCAAAATTGCTTTATTGTGTGTACATATCCACAAACATTAATTTGTGCTTTTCAACCAACAAGAAAATATCATGTGAATTAACTATCTTTAGTCAATATAAACTTCTATAATTCTACATTTGAACTTACACTCTGTCTACAAATATCCAAATGCTATACCTTCATCATTAGGTGAAACCTCTTTATAAGACCTAAAGAATATTATTATTAGATAATTATCACCGATACTAAGACTGCTAGGAATGAGTGAGCTTAATTAGCAAGGTATTATCAGAAGTGGCAAGATTATAATCAGTTTAGCTCTATTGTGGCTGTTCTAACTGCTGTCCTTGGCTCTACTGAGGCTGTCCATTTGCAGAAATGGTTTTATCTGGTTCTTCAAACCTTTGTACCAAAATGTAAAACCTATGTTGGGAAAGATGAGACAGATGACCCCACACCCTGTAGCCAAGCCTGGACTATTTCTATTGCCAAGGATACCATGTACATTAGAAAAAACTAAAAATAATCACAGTGAAATTTCTTTCACTCAGTCCAACTTGGCTATAGAATCAGGACCTTTAAATGGCTTTGGAAGCTCAGAAGTTCTGGTCAGACATAGAAGAAATACAAAATACAAAGCTAGAGGTATTTTATAGGAAAGGCTTATTAACTGTGAAGCGCTGGTTCTTACATGTTTTTTTCCTGATTCAGTACACCTAAGGGAGATAACACACTCCAAATCAGTGTTTGGTTCACTCAAAGTAGCCATACTCAACCACCCCTTATGAGAAATCAGTGCTGTAAACAAATACTTTTCTCAAATTCACATGAGAAATAAAATAATATTATATACAAACCTCATCCAGAGTCTCTTCAGACTTGGTTTCTTTGGGTTTATCTTCATTAAGCTTCACATTTTTCACCTGCTCAGACACTTTACTTATACTTTCAGTACCCTTGAAACGCTGTAAGGAAAATGTTCTAATGTTTACCATATTCAGGACAGGTTAAAAGCTAGAAGGGACATCTAGATTTTCTTTTTTTTTTTTTTTAAAGATTTTATTTATTTGACAGAGAGAGACACAGTGAGAGAGGGAACACAAGCAGGGGGAGTGGGAGAGGGAGAAGCAGGCTTCCCGCGGAGCAGGGAGCCCGATGCGGGGCTCGATCCCAGGACTCTGGGATCATGACCTGAGCCGAAGGCAGACGCTTAACGACTGAGCCACCCAGGCGCCCCGGGACATCTAGATTTTCAACTTTTCAATTTAACGAACATCTATACCATGAAGGCTACATAACTCAAATACAAATTAATGGAAACTGTCTAAGAACAAAGGAAAAATCTTATGTTAAGCATTTTAATCAACAAATTATGAACCTCAAAGCATCTCACAACATAAATGCTGAAAAGGGATTTTTAGAAAGGACAACTCAGGGGCGACCGGGTGACTCAGTTGGTTGGGCGTTCGACTCTTGGTTTCAGCTTGGGTCATGATCTCGGGGTCATGGGATAGAGCCCCGTGTTGGGCTCCGAGCTCAAGGCGAGTCTGCTTGGGATTCTCTCCCTCTTCCTCTGCCCCTCCCCTCACTTGTGCTGTCTCTTGCTCTAAAATGAATAAATAAATCTTTAAACGGGAAAAAAAACAGATTTAGAAAGGCCAACTCAGATTCAGATATGAATATAATTCACACACAATTCCTGGGATGCCTGGGTGGCTCAGTTAGTTGGGCCTCTGCCTTTGGTTCAGGTCATGATCCCAGGGACCCGGGATCAAGCCCCATATCAGGCTCCCTGCTCAGCAGGGGGTCTGCTTCTCCTTCTTCCTCTGCCCCTCCTCCCTTCTTGTGTTCGCGCTCTCTAATAAATAAATCTTTAAAAAAAATTCACACAATTCCTTAATAAAGACTCTTTGTTGTGGAAGATGATAATAGTGAACAAATATTGGAGAATTTCTTAAAATTTGTTTTTCTAAAGGTTCAGCATAAGTCTAAGATTTTCAGTTCATTAATGAAATGGAACTTCCTTTGGATTTTTAACTTTTCAGTACCTTTATTTGTTGTCTTAATTTAAGCTACAGGGAGTTATTATTATTTTTTAAAGATTTATTTATTTATTTTGAGAGAGAGTGCGAGCATGAGCATGTGCAAGTGTGGGGAGGGGCAGAGAGAAAGACTCTCAAGTGCAGACTATCCGATGAACAGGGAGCCCAATGCAGGGCTTGATCTCAGGACCCTGAGATCATGATCTGAGCCGAAATCAAGAGTCAGACACTCAAATGACTGAGCCTCCTAGGCATCCTGGGAATTATTTTTAAAAATTTGGTTCCTTTCAAAGTATCTTAATATTCCCCCATACTGCAGATTAGCTTTGCTAGATTTGGCAGTAGTCCATTTATGATTACAGTTAAGAAAAACTCCAGGTGGAAAAACTTAAACATATTCTGCAAATAAATTTAAAGCTTCTTTTTGTAAATAAAATATCTAAAAAAATATTCTTGTAATAAATGAAACAATACTCACCTTACTTTCAAAAAGATGGTTGTAGGCTGTAACCAAATGGTCCTTGTTAGCTGTCTTGGCCACATTTTTAATGTTTCCTAATAACTTATGTTCTGCAAGAAACTATAAAGAAAAAAGCTGGTTAGTCAAAATAATCTCCCTCATGTAATAAGGGTCTAAACTTTAGAAAAATGACCTTTTATGTTAGTAATTATATCTTCAATAAAACTACTCATGATGGAAGAAATTAAACATATTTTATACCCTACTTCATAACAAAAAAAAGATTTAAAAAATGTATTTATAAAAATTATTGACAAGACCAGAACTGTAATATTATGTGGGGGTCACACTGTTGCATACTAACGCTTTTCCCATTACAGAACTCACAGAACATTTATACAGCAAGCATATTTTGGTAACTGGATGATGCTGCTACTGGCAGGATGTTACTTGGCCATGGCCCTTGGGAGTCTCCAACCATGTTGGGAATAGCTATCTTGACATAACCCATTCTTGGCAGACTGGGAAGCACTGTTATACAATGCTGGATATATGGTGGTTAAGTGTGTGGGCTGAAGAGTCAGATCATCTGTATTAAAATCCTAGCTACCTGATCTTAGACAAAGGACTAAGCTTTCCTAAATAGTTTCTGTATCATAGTGGAAGATTAATAACAGCACCAATGTCAGAGGGTTGTTTAAGAATAAATGCAATAGTCCATTTACTGTATTTAACATACAGTCTGTTGCATGGTGAGAACTCAATAAATATTAGCTATTAGGGCTAATAACAATGTACTTAATAATTCAAAGTAACAGAATTCCATTTCTCTTAAAGTTGGCAAACTTAAACAAAGTTGGCAAACGGACACCAAAATACTACTTCTGAAATATCGAGTTATCAAAATGTAACTTCATCTCAAAGTCATGTAACATGGGAATTTTAATAATGTCTTTATTTCCTTATTTTATTCTGCTTCCTTTTCTGCCTTCTCGTCCTTGATTCCTCATTTTTGTTCCTTTCTCAAAGTTGTCCTCTGGCATCTTCTATCCTTTTGATAAAGGAGCTTTTCTAACACTACCACTACTGTATTTTTTTCTCCTCTGCTTTTTCTCTCCCCCAATTAGAGAAATGTTCTAAATGATAAAGGTTGATGGGGAAAGGTTATTTTGATTAAATGGAAGTAATCAGTTGCTTTTAGGATTCTTGTGATTTCTTTAGTAAGATTCCAAAAATAGCAAAAATATAAACATCTCCTTGATATCTTATGATCAATAAAATAGTGATTGTCAACTACAGGTTTAAATATGTGACTGAATACTAGAGAATACGCACTTAAAAGATTAATCTATTAAAAAAATATTTTGATAATTCAAGTCTCTTGAAATTGTCCCAGGTGGGCCAGTTTTACATTAGATTTCACACTGGGATCATTTGTTCATAAGATGAAGTATAGTATTGAGGCATTAAATGTTAACAAACGATATGCCTAATTTATTCTATTGTTCCAGTTGAAAATACAAATTGACTTAAGAGAATATAACTCCACTAAAATGTATAAAATGGAATACCTGAGGCGTAGTCTTTCTTTTACCCTGTATTCCCAAACACTGAGCATAGTTCTTGCTATTGATGTTGTATAAATATTTGCTGGTATTAGGATACTTATTCTAGGTGTATGGAACTGGTTTTAGAGAATTACTTTATCTCCTCTTCAAGACACCTCAAAATGAAAATAAACTACAATCCTCACAGAAGAACCCAGAAAGAATTTTTCTAATGCATGTTTAGAACTTAAATGAAAAACTGTAGAGAAACCATACAGACTGCTGTTTCTATTTCCCGTAAGTGGGGGATGCAGAGTGCAGGAACTGTACAGTGGTTCATCAATTTAAGAGAAGTATGAATGATCTTAATTTCAGAAGGGAAAAAAGTCAAGTCTGACAAAAAACAACCCCCCCCCCCAAAAAAAACCCCCAAACACTTGTGACCAGAGTCGGGTGGTTAAGATGGAGACTATACTGAAAAATGCAGGGCGTACAGGATAAAGAATGCCAAAAACATTTCTTAAGTTTGTGTCTAAGAATGGGAGATACTGTACACTAAATGCGCAAGTAACTACCCTCAGTATAAAGGTGAAAAGGTCATGTAAAGAGTCAATATTTTGAAAAGTTAAACCGCAATCTACGGATTTTTAAAAATTACACGCATTAGTGTTCAGTATTTAGTAACCCGATGAGAAAAGCAAAAAGCACATACCGTTCCCACAAAAATCTTCACAATCCTTCCCATTTCTCTAATGGCCTACTCTCCTCTGCAGGGGTCTCACCCAGGTCCCCAGCGCTCGGACACCCGTTCCAACCCCCGTATCTCCTGGGTCCTTTCTTTTCATGGCTTCCACCCTCACTCAAGGATCCCAGTGAGGTTTTAATTATGCGACTGCTGCCTGCCTGCCCCAAGAAATAGAGCCGATCCCCACACCCCCCCAAAATTGGGCAGCCCAAACGGCGGGAGCACGGCGCCCCGGCGCACGCGAGGCCTCTCCGGCCTTCCAGGCCACCGGCCGCGGGAGGACGAGGGCGGGGGCACGGAGGAATACGGAATGTACGGGCATCTCGGGGGGGTGAGGCGTCCCTCTGCCGCACCAGCCCGGCCGCCCCGCCGCCTCTGGTACCGAATCTGAACCATGGTCCTGTAGAAACTTGATAATGTCCTTCTTGGGTAGCTGCTCGCTGCGCAGCTGCTCCACGGTCCAGGCCCGCTGTGGTACGGCCGCCGCCATCTTCCCCCGCTGCCTCTGCTTCACTGAGCCAGCCCGCCTCAGTTCAGCATCGCCCCGCCCCTGGGGCGTGGCGTGGACCCCGCCTGGAGCTCGAGGGGGCGGGGCCACGGCGCTACACTGCGGGATTGGGGCCCGTCCTTGAGTGACGTCGAGGCTGCGCTCTGAAGGCCTCGGTTGATTTCGGGTGTAATCCAGCTGATGTGGTCATTGCAGCGGACTAGCAGATGACCTGAAACTGTCATCCGCTCTTAATTGGAACCCTTGTGAGGCAACCACTGTTGCCACTGTACCAGCCATTACCTGCATTTGTGTATGGCCGACGGGCTGCTATGTCTTTAAAGCCCGTATATAACCTGCTTAAAGAAAACAACAGCATTCCGACTTTTAATCACGTTTTATCTAGTTCTAGCCTAAAAATTCACACCTGAATAGATTCAGTCCTTCCCATCAGAACAACCCATACTCACCATCTCCCTTTTAAAACTCACACAAGTGAAACTAAAATACAACTCTTCCCTTCCCCACCCAATAAATAAAAACACAGGAGAAAGTTTAAAAGCAAGGTCAAGAAACTTGACCCGGGGGCGCCTGGGTGGCTCAGTCGTTAGGCCTCTCGGCTCAGGACATGATCCCAGGGTCCTGGGATCGAGCCCCGCATCGGGCTCCCTGCTCCGCGGGAGGCCTGCTTCTCCCTCTCCCACTCCCCCTGCTTGTGTTCCCTCTCTCGCTGTGTGTCTCTCTGTCAAATAAATAAATAAAATCTTAAAAAAAAAAAAAAAAGAAAAGAAACTTGACCAAATAAAACGATATAAAGAAGCTACACGCAGGATGATGCGTGGGGATATTGATATTACTAATGTTTAAAACAACCTCATGATGTGTACCTCCTGTGTATATGAGGAAGCAAATTTACAGAGGTGACTCCAAGTTACCAAGGTTTAGAGTGGGGAAGCCGGGAATTGTATCCAAGCCTGAGGTAGAAAGCTGTCGCCAGAATAGAATAATACCACACCAACGCGTACTGCTCTATATAATTTATGAAGATGTAATGGTGGAGTTTCAGGAAAGCCTTACTTTTTTCTTTCGCATTTTCCCACGAATACGGGACCAAATCATTCACTACCCTCTTAACAATAAAAATGGTAAGATTATGGGCTGTCTTTCCAAATACTGTGAAAAAGAAACCGGGCATTTTTTTCCCCCTCAACTTGTATAAAGAAATAAGATACTTAATTCTACCTAACCCTTCTGTTTTTCACCTCTTTTTCCGATTTAAAAATAAACCAATAAGGAATAAGAATTGTTCGCTCAATAACGTTAAATTCACAAAAATATGGGTATCCGTTGTCCCTAGGATCTCAAAGTTATTTATTTTTTTTATCATTTTAAGCAACATCGCTTTAGCAATTAGGCCGAGACACACAATCGCTGGGAACGGAACTTATATTTAGAGTCTATGAAGAAACTGAACCGCGGACCAAATTTAGACTAACGCCATAACAATGCGCATGCGTCTCCGGGAGTCCGCAAGGGTTTCCGGGAAGCCAGCCAATCATATTTCCGACGCAAACTCAGTGGCGGCATTTTTCAACCAGATGAACAAGCTGCAGTCCCGCCCTCACGTTCCACTGTTTTGTGCGAAGGTAACCGATGGGGATCCGAATGGTGGCGGTTGAGCTGTTGGAACTGCTAGCGTCTGAGAGAAGCCTTTGGTGGTCTCATCCTAATGAGCGGACGGCAAAGAACGCTTTTCCAGACGTGGGGCTCAAGCATTTCTCGAACCGCTGGAGCTCCGGGTTGCAACTCTGGACCTGAGCGGCCTCAGAGCCCTGGCATCTCCAGGGCACATTCTCCTCCGGCTGCAGAGGCTGCCGAGGCTCAGCCGGAGTCGGACGATGATGTATTGCTGGTTGCAGTGTATGAGGCAGAGCGGCAGCTGAGTTTAGAGAATGGCGGTTTCTGCACTTCAGCGGGCTCCCTGTGGATTTACCCTACTAATTGCCCAGTGCGGGATTACCAGCTGCACATGGCCCGGACCTCTCTGTTCTGCAACACGCTGGTGTGTCTGCCTACTGGGCTGGGAAAGACCTTTATTGCCGCTGTGGTCATGTACAATTTCTACCGGTGGTTCCCTTCCGGCAAGGTGGTCTTTATGGCCCCCACAAAACCTTTAGTGACGCAGCAGATCGAGGCTTGCTACCGAGTGATGGGTATTCCGCAGTCCCACATGGCTGAAATGACAGGTATCTTAGGAAATGGGCTAGTTTGAAATTAAGAGCGGGGTGCTCGGGAAAGCATGCATTCTGGTGGAGACTGAGCTAAAAGAATTCCTGAATAGTCCCCGGATCACAGTATCCGTATTTTACATCCTCTCCCTTAAAGCATTATCTTCTTGTAGCAAGTCTGGCCCTCACAAAAAGGGTTGCTTTCCTCAATTTTCAGAGGCTCTCCGTAATTTGTCGGAGCATTTTGAAGCGATTTGTGTGTATACCCCGTCCGAAGTGAACGCACAGGAGGTTTTCTGACTTTCTTCCCCAGAAAGATCTCCCAGTTGAAGAATTTGCTTTTCTCCAGATATGCCATTTTGTAGGAGTTCTCTAAAGACAGTCTAGTTGTGTCTCAGCATTGACATTGTGATCACAACAGAGCTTTAAAATGTAACATTTCAGTGATTTGTTAAATTGTTGTCTGAAGGCACATTACCAAAGCAGGACTGCATTCTGAAATTAGGCCAGATTATTTATAGATATTTTAAAGATAACAGCCCTGGTATTTAGAATATAGGATGTCGCTTTTGTTTACAGGATCTACTCAAGCTATCACCAGGAAGGAAATATGGCACAGTAAGAGAGTACTTTTTCTTACACCTCAAGTCATGGTAAATGATCTTTCTAGAGGAGCTTGTCCTGCTGCTGAAATAAAGTGTCTAGTTATTGATGAAGCTCATAAAGCTCTTGGAAACTATGCTTATTGCCAGGTAATATTTCGTTTAAAAGTATTTTGTACTGTGAACGTATTGTTAAAGAGTGTTTTGGTGAATACTTATTAATGATGGAAGTTACTGATTGTGTTATAATTATGAAAAAACCACATTATTTCAACGAAGGAAATACTTCATTCAAATCAGTGTCTGTCTCTTTTTTTTTAAATCCCTAACACCATTAGTGTCAGGTGTAGATGATGAAAGCCTGGTCATGGTTGAGGCAGTGATTTAAAATAGGGTATGGGTGGAATTTTGGAACAAAGATAATAATCCAAAGATCGGTAGCGGATATGCCGTGTCATTCCTTGGCAGTTAGGTAAAATCATACTTAACTGTCAAGAGTTGTTACTAAGATTGAATGACATAATGTATGCAACATACCTAACACAGTGCCTTCTAGTTACGTACTACATAAATACGAATTAGAAAGGTGAAGAGGTGGGATATGGCTGGAGAGATACTTAAAAGTCCAGGTCATGAAGGCATTTGTATATTATGCTTAGCAGTTTGAATGCTCTTTGTAGGACATAGCGGATATAGGTGGTGGAGACTCATTTAAAAATGTTTACCTGGGGTGATACTTAAGATTTAAAAGAGATTAGAAGAGTAGAGGGCTAAAGGCAGGGTGTACAGAGGGAGAGGAAGTATTTAGGATGACTCCCAGATTTCTGACTTAAAAGACTGTGAGGATGTTGGTGCTCCTAGTCAAAATGGAGAGTTGTGGAGGCACAGAAGATTTGGGGTGTTGTGGAAAGATAATGAGTGTAGCTTTAGATTGTTGAGTTTGAAATGTCCATGAGGAATCTAGCTATAGATACCCAGTGGGAAGTGGGGGATAGAAGTATGAATCTCAATGGAGAGTTCTGAGCTGGAGATACAGATTTGGAAATCATCAACATATAGGTGGTACATAGGTAAAACTATAAGCTGGTGATATCAGGGAAAGGGTATAGAGTAAGAATAGAAGGAAAAGTTGATTTTTTTTAGTGCAAAGAGGTGAATTTTACTGCCAGTTTGTGAATTTATAGTTTCCCTGATTAAGGAACTTAAGTTTAAGTTAAGTTTATTGTATTATATCTCTGTGTTATCTTCTGGAGAATTGTTACCTTTCTTAAATTGATTTTAGGCAAGAAATGGATGTATATACTTTTTATATCTTTCCAAGTTAAATTAATACCCAGTGTGTTAAGGTTTCTGCTTGAGTGGGGCATTTAAAAATTTTTATTTTAATTCTGTGAATTTACTTTGTAGATTTAGCTTATACGTAGGAACTTTAACTCATTTATTTTTTGTAAAAATTTCTAGCATTGGGTCTTTTTTTTTTTTTAAGTAGGCTCCACATTGGGTGTAGAGCCCAATGTGGGCCTTGAACTCACCACCCTGAGATCAAGACCTGGACTGAGATCAAGAGTCAGGCACTCAACTGACTTGAGCCACCGAGGCACCACAGTTTTTTTTTTGTTTTTTTTTTTTAATTACAAGGCTTATGCTTTTATGGAGTACAGTGGAGTCATGCACTGATTTCACTGATATCCAGACAGCCCTGAGTGCTTATGGTGCCTTGACTATTATAGATGTAGATTCCAACAGGCACACCAACTCCATGAAGAATGTAGCTTCCTGGGTTACAAACACAGCACCATTTCGTCTTCTACAAAATGCAAGAGAATCCCACTTGCGTAAAAGTAACGTATTAGGGTTTGTCTTGCATCAGTTTAATTAGAACAATTCAGTGTTAAGTATAATGTTCTATCTTAATATATATTCTATATCATGTTAAAAAGAAACTCCATAAAT